CGTTTGTCAGTATTCTGGTTAAACCGACCCAGCGCTGAACATAATACTCCAGTTTTGATCTTGCCAGCACCGGTAAACTGGAAACCTCCTTTGTCTCGGAAATTGTTGATACAGCCCCAAATCACCACTTTTATGGCAGCCACATCACACTGCTAACAAACCCAGACCATAAATCCTTTCCACATAAACTGCTTATCTAGCCATGTGTCTCTTCCATCTTTTACTTTTCCTTCAGTATTTTATGTTTATCCCTGTAAAATTTAAGTTTCCTCAATCTAGCCCACTGTTCCTAGCCAGCTTAGGCTTTTTAGATCCCAACTCTGTTATTAAGTTATCTATTAATATTGGGAAAGTACTTAAAAACTATAAAATTGCAAGCTGCTATTGTGCCATCTAACATTAGCTATCCTTCTAGACTTTACATTATTCACCAGTCTACATCTTAATCATTTAATTAAAAAAATGTTGGGCATAAAGGGACTCATGGCTCACCACTATAAACTTTAACAGGTTGACACTGACGCATGAGTCAATTGCCTTTGGTAATGATCTTTCAATCAATTAGGAATCCACTGAACTGTACTTCCATCTAGCTTCTCTCTCTCGATCTTACCCATCATTTTTTTTTAATGCAGATCTTTCATTGGAGTGAATGCTCCTCTGAAAACTCCTTCCACCTATGCAGACCAGCAACTCATCTGCAACTTGTAAAAAGTCCATACAAATAGTCTGAGAGTTTGTCCAATGGCTTGTATGAGTCTAAATAAACTGTAGTGTTTTCTTGATCTGCTAGTCTTGTACCCAGCTAAGAAGGAAAAAAGGCTACTTTTCATTAGTTCCCAGGAGGTTAGAACTGGAAGATCAAACCCTCTTGACAGATGAGAAAACAAGGTAGGTAGCAAGTGCCACGACTCAGGTCACAAAACCAAGGAAAGTGGCAGTGTGAAGACTAGAACTCAAGGCTGATTCCTCCAGTCCTGTGCTACTCTCCATCATATATACTAGTGATGGGGTGTGGGACCTGTACCCCTAAAAGGAAAAGACCAAGTCTTTGAAAGCAACCCAGTTCCTGAATTTTCCCATACATTTCAGCAGCCCAGATCAACTTGCCCAAGGCTCCTTCACTGTTGCACCTGGCCCATCAAACTACTTACCACTCCTTAATCCAACCCAGATCGTTTCACCATCCCTTTCGCATATAAGCAGCAGTCTCATCTTTATTAGTTTGCAAGTTCACTAGGAACTGTGCCCACTCCTGTTGACATTACAATAAACTTTGCCACTTGACTGGAAAATGGTTTGAGTGTGTGAATTTGTTCCAGGCAACTCCACCACGTACCCACGTAACATTTTTCCTGGTTCCCAGCAACCCTAAATTATGTCACTAGGAAACACTATTATTCATCAATGGTAAATCCAGGCTAGTTCTCAATGATAACAGCTTTGCTGGAAGTCCTCGAAGATAATATCCATTTGAGAATTCATTCTAAAATGTTACCAGAGATCAGCATCCTAGGGACTACTGTGACATCAAAACATCATGACTTAGATTTAGAAGGGCCCTTAGAGGGTGCATAGTTCAACCCCCTCCTTTCAGAGGAGGAAACTGAGACCTAGGAGTGTGACTTGTCCACAGCTCAGGGAGAAATGAAAGCAGATAGAAACTCAGAACTCCTAGTGGATCCCACTTGTAGGGCCTGACTTGGAGGCTGCCAGATATCTACAAAGCTGGGCCCACATTTTCACCCTTCTTCACCTCAATTCTGAGCAGAGGTAGAATTATTCAGTTTTCCAAAGGAGAGTAAATCTCCCAAATAATAATTACTTAAATTGCATCTTATGAGTACTAAGTACTTTGTTTTCATTGTTTCATTTGACCCTTGTAACACTGTAAAGTAGGTGTTTACCTATAGGAAAATGATGTTCAGGGGTCAGTATGGTAGGAAAAACAGAAGACCTATCTACTTACCAATCATTATTTGTGCGGAGTTTGGGCATCATGTAACATCTTTGTGCCTCAGTTTCCAAATCTGATGGCCTCTCCTCAATGCTCACTGTTCATGACCAGAGCGATTTGACCTTTTGGACATTATCCCTCCTTCTGGATAATCTTTTCCATATTTTTGTGATACTGCTCTCTTAGTCCTACTTCTGCCTCAGTCTTCTCTCTGGAATTCACGTTATACTTCTAGCTGTCCTGGGCCCTCTTTCACTGTCCCTACACACACTCAGCGACCTCATTAGTTCCCATGAGTTTACTTATTGTCTTTATTGCACAGCCCTAATTTCTTTCCTAAGCTCAGTCTCACATCGCCAACTGAAATGGATAGCTTGTTAAGGCATTTCAAATTCAACACGTCCAAAACTGAGCTCATTATCTTTCTCCCCAAACTCACTCCTCTTTCAAATTTCCCTATTTGTGGCAAGGTTATCACCATTCTTCCAATTACCCAAATTCACAAACTTGGTGTCATACCCAACTTCTGTATCTACTTAGTTGCCAAGTATTACAATTTCCATTCCAACGTCTTTGGAATCTATCCCCTTCTCTGTTCTCCGAACTTACTGCACCACCACTTACTTTTAGGCCTTTCTCATCTCTCACCTGCACTATTATTATTATTGTTATTTGGTCATTTTTCAGTTGTCTGCCTCTTCATGACTCCATTTGGGGTTTTCTTAGCAAAGACAGTGGTTTGCTATTTCCCTCTTCAGCATATTTTACAGATGAGGAACTGAGGTCAACACAATTAAGCAACTGACTCAGGGTCACACAGCTATGAAGTGTCTGGGGCCAGATCTGAAGTCAGTTAATTCCTGGAGCCTGACTCCAAGCCCAGCCCTCTATGCACTATGGCACCACTTAGCTGCCCAGATTATATATGCATTATTATAACAGCCTCCTGATTATCTTTTCGCCTTGTTTTTCTCCCTATTCTAAGTCCAACTCCAAGAAGTTGCTAGTGACTTTCCTGAAGTGCAAGTCTATGTTACCCAGCCCCAACAGTAAGCTCCAGCGACACTCTGTAACTTCTGAAGCCTCTTACAGCATGGGCCCAACCTCCTTCCATGCACACTACACTTGGCTCGTTTGCCCAAACAAGGTCATGCATTTTCAGCCTATGTGCCTTCCCCCTGGTTGTCCCTCACACCTGGAATGTATTCCCTACTTGCCTGCATTTCTCAAAATCCCTAGTTTTCTGAGTTCAAATCCAGCCTCAGATCAAACACTTGACACTTACTAGCTGTGTGACCCTGGGCAAGTCACTTTACCCCAATTGCCTTAAAATTTAAAAAATCCCTAGTTTTCTTCAAGGTTCAGCTTTTGTCACCTTCTCTAATGCCTTTTCAGATGTGCCCCCTCCCTACATCCCCCATCTTCGCCCTATTTCTACTGTGTCCCTACCTGTTACATACCTATTACATGAGGGCAGGAACTGTTTTTGTCTCATATACCCAGTGCCAGGTACAGAGCCTGGCACAGAATGTACTTGGTGATGATCTGGACCTTCATCTATACCCATAATTCCTTCAAGATTACCAATATCGGTTCAACAACTGCATCTGGGCTTGCTTTCTTTCAGCACCTTGGGATCTGTTTTGGTAGAGTGATGTGATTTAAATTTAGTGATCCTGGCCCCAAATCCTGAGATTTTGCTCAGATATCCTCTTGGCATTCTGAATAGGGGAAGGAAAAGCAGGCTTAAGTCTATTTTGGCAAGGTCCCTTGAATGGTAACCTGGCTGGGGGTGTGAGAGAATCCACAATTCAGAATACGACTGCTTCTTTCCCTTCTTTGGCTTCATTCCTGGTGCTTCTGCCATCATTACCACTGTGCTCCCCTTATACAAAACACCACAAGTCTGAGACAAGGGGCTGAAAGTGCTGGTGAAAAAGATGGGGGAGAGAGGAAACAAAAACGCAAAGGCTGAGAGCTTAATCTCAGATGGCTGTGGTCACTGTTTCAGGTCAACTAAAGAAGGTTTGGTGGAAAATGATTGCCATGTGCAGAAAAAATAATGTCTCTTGTAGTTCTTGTCATTGCTACTCGGAAGGCCCACAAACACTGGCATAGCCCGCCCTGACTGAAGTCCTATGCCGAAAAAGATGGAGCTAAGTTAAAGCAGAGTTGGCTTTACAAACACTCATGTAAGATTTCCTAAAACAGGGGCAGCTAGGTGGTGCACTGGATAGGATACTGGCCTTGGAGTCACGAGGACCAGAGTTCAAATCCGGACTCAGACACATGATACTCACTAGCTATATGACCTTGGGCAAGTCACTTAACCCCAATTGCCTTGTAAGTAAATAAATGAATGAATAATTTCCTAAAACAGAAACACCTTATAGTGCTTACAATTTTGCCAAATTAGATTCATACACAAGTTCTTGGGAAAACAGCTCCTGAATATGTGAAGGACACCGATTCCAAGAGTTCACATCTACAAAAGCACTTTATTTTATTTATTTTTCACAAGGCAATCGGGGTTAAGTGACTTGGCCTAGGTCATATTGCTAGTGTCTGAGGCCAGATTTGAAATCAGGTCCTCCTGACTCCAGGACTAGCTCTATCCACTGTACCACCTAGCTGCCCTACAGAAGCACTTTATACTTTACTGCTTTCCTCAGAACAACCCTACCTTTTGGAGTTCATAGTAAAAATGTCATAACCTGTAAAATTAGGCTCAAGATACACCACTGTGTACTACAGGTATGCACTAACACTACAGGTTAAGATACACTTGTTGCAGATGGCAGTAAATGACAGGGTCAGGATCTGAACCCATACCTGTGGACTCTGAGACTGGAGCCTTTTCCCACCAATCTCCATTCCCCTCCCTACTCCTCCACCTTCCACTATGAATATTTAGGAAAATACAGGAGGAGAGTTAGACACACAAAAGATTTAGCTAATATGAAGTATAAACAATGACTTAAAAAAAAAACTTGGCAGAATTCACTACATAAAATTTATTTTTTATATAAAAATGTATAACCAGCACCTACTTTTAAATCAATTAATTTATGAAATCACTGTGTTCTGTAGGAAACACATGTTAGCATTAAAACAGCTTAAAGAAATGTCATGGCTATCTACAAAAAAAATCAGTTTTGATTCTTTTTTTCTTCCATATTTTAATATTGGCATACATGAGGGAAAATTAAATTCTTATGTTGAACATGTTATAGTCGATAATTTTTTTTTAGAATATACATTGCTTAATCACTACTATGCTCTTTAAAGACTTCAATTAAGTTTCAAATAAAAAAATTAAAGATACCATGACAGCTTTGCTGTATTTTTTTACAGCAATTTTTTTTTCTATACAACAATCTTTGAGTAGGCATGCAGGTCAACTTTTCATGTTGTTACATACCTGTATTTAAGCCAACTCAGTCATACCCATTTTTACAGAAAAATGTCAAAATACATATTGCAGTAAGCACAGAGCAACTTTAAAAAGATCACCAGTATGAATGGCACCAAAAAAAAAATACCATCTGTATAAATTATTACTGGAGTTCCTGATCACAGAAATTGGTACAGGGATTTCCAGTGTGATCCTTAGGGCTTTGCTCTCTGAAAGAATACCTGTTTCAAAAAAAAGAAAGTATTAGTATAATTCCTTACAAGGTGAAGGGACGGTCCCCTGGTACTGGTATCAGACACATTTACTTCAAAGAGAAACAAATGAGCTTTCTCCCCCAAAAACACATTGCTTAGGACTTGATTCACCAACGGAATGCAGTCATTCCTCTGTGGTGAAAGATGGTAGTTGTCTAAAATCAATACTTCACATAATCTATAATCTCATAGGTAAATTAAGGCAAAACAAGAACTTCACATATTGCTGATTACCTGAGACCACAGATCATGTGAATGTTGAAGAAATTCAAAGTGACACAAAGTCTCATCTGACAGCTATCTTTTGTTCCCTCTCCTAATGCAGACGAGCAGCTTATCTGTCACTTATCTTTTTCTAGAGCTGCTGTGGGTGCTAAGCAGCGAAATCAAGTGAATCAGGCCAAAGCACCACTATGTGCCAGAGACAGGCCTGGCCAGTACTCTCCCAATAAGGCTGTGCTGCTTATCATAGTGCAAAATACCCCAACAATTAATGGCATAATCATCACTCAACAAGTATTTTGAATGCATATCATAAAAAGGGCACTCTGCTAGCTACTAAATGCAAAAAAGCCCAGGGTAAGATGTGTGCAGTTTACAGTCTGGCTGTATTTACTACCCTGCAGTGCTGGTGAAAGTGCCAAGTGAGTGATGATGCCCATTAACTGTTACTCAGAGCTCAGCGGCAGAGCAGATGATTTGGGAGCAGGGTGGTCTGGAAAAGCCTCACAGAAGGTGGTTACTCTGGCTGAATCCTCAAGCATAGACAGGAACAGATTTGGGGGAGGGAATGGTATACAAGACACAATGCCACAAACACTCCAATTGTGTTCTGGAAACAGTGAAGACAAGTGTCCTGTTGGAAAAGGATTGTCTCAGGGAAGAACACACTTCAGTTGTGCCTGAATGTTTTTTAAGTACTTTCTTCCTAAAAGCTTGTGAAATGGGTGGGGGCAACCCCGTAGTGCTAAGTTGTGTGACCCTCCAACACGCCTCTAGCTTCACACAAAGCAAACAAAGCTGAGTTGGCTCAGATTGCACCTCTTGATCTAGCTCATAAACTGTGATGGTGCTCATGAAGGGGACCACAGGTCTGGGGAGCTGAGCAGATGCCCCATCAGCTCTATGAGAATGATTCCAAGCTGAGGGCCATCTTCCATGTATGAGGGACTGCACATGGTACTTATTTACTCAACAAGAGTCCTCTGAACATCTCCTTAACTCTCCCAGGCAGCTAGAAAAAAAAAAAAAAAGAGCAAGAAAGAGAAAAGGCCGTCTGAAACTAAAGCACCAGGTACCATTCTATGATGAGAATGATGTCTGTGAAATCTTCACAAGGGGCATGATTGCAAAGTTTTGCAAACCAGAACTTGGCTGCCTCCCTGCCTTCAACCTTCTCACTTGTGGAGAGGGGGGCGGGGCAGGTGTCCTTGAACAGGACAGAATCCTGTGGGCCTGTGCACAGAGCTGTTCTATGTTTGTTCAATCTACCAGAGTTTGAGACCTCTGCTGGTCTAGCCTTCAGGAACCAGTCACCTCCACAGTAAAATATTGGACTAATAAGACTTTAGTGGAGGTAGAAGAACACCATTTAAAATGAAAAATACTGCTTTACTTCCATGTTGAGATTAACATTCCAATTAAGTTTATAAACAAATCACCAAAAAAACCTAAAACCTACTGTAGTCAGTTTTTAGGACCCTACCATTCTACGTAATTTTAGTATCTGCACAAATGTAAAAAGGATCATTGATAGATCTCAACCAAAACATATATAGGTATATGTGTACAACTTTGTCCCACATCACAAGGAAAAATGTTTTCTATATAGGATAAACACAAAACTTTATTCCCTTTTACTTGCCTTCTTACATTCTTCCTAATACCTTCCTCTCAATAATCTATTAGGCAAGGTCTAGGTTAGGTCTCTATCCTTACTCAAAGTTTTTTTGCTCAGCCCTTTTCCTCCATATACAGTTGAGTGCATGTGGTGAGGCAGTCAATACAAAGCTGGTAACCCAAACTACACTTTAACAGAATTATCTTTTGAAAAAACTATTCTTCTATACACACAAATTCTACTTGTCTTCTTTCTTTCCTCTGCCATATCTGCTAAAATTGGAAGCAAACAGCATTTAACAAAAGCTGTATAAGATATCCTACCACATGAACCACAAAATAAGGTTCTTCAAAACCTGTCAGTGTTTCAGTGAGGGGTGGTCATTTCAACAGTAAAGTTTTAAAATATCTCCTAAAATTGTTTTTCTTTTTACTCTTAAACATGGTTTCATTATGAGGTTGCACAAAAGTATTAACTGCCTTTAAAAACTTACCTTTAAGTAATTTTTAAACACTTTAGCATCGGGCTGCTGAAGGGCTTGACAAAACTCCTAAGGGGAAAATGGAACCTCTGTGATTATCATCATAAAATTCAAGAAAGGTCACTTGTAGGAACTGTATCCAGGATCCAGTTCACCTCCAAATGTAGTGAATCTAGCAGTTCCCTGTGCCAAATGTTATCCAACAGTTGAATTTATTCATTCACAAATTCTTAAAAGTACAGTTCTCACGATTAAGATGTGCCCCTCACCGACCTGGGGTGGGTGTAGGGGCAGGGGAGCACTGCTGAAGCTTTTTTCTCTTATCCTTCAGGGACAGAACCAAGCAGCCCAAAATGTGCATCTTTCTAGCAGCAGCTCAGCTCTAGGGACCAGCCCGGCCAGGACTCAACAAGAAAGGACAGGAAAAAGGAACAATGAGTAGGAAAGGGTGGGGACCCTGACCTCGATACTCTGGCAAGCATAAAAGAAAGGTCACTGTGATTCTACTTTGTTTCTTAGTCAAGTTTACACTTGGCTAAGAAAATTGAGTTTGAGTATAAAAGTTAAGGTTAAATGAAAATGTAATGGCAAATTCCAGAAATACCATAACATGGGTCCACATTTCTCTGCAATCATAAGTAGTCCTAACCATAAGACCTTAGTTTCATTAACATTTAAAAAACAAAAAAAGCCCAAATCCATTTCAAAAATGGCAGAATATAGATACACACACAACTTTTACTTAAATGGATACATTACAAAAATTCAATTTGTTTGGATAACTGCAAACCAACAGATCAAATACTGTATTTACTGAGTGCCATCACAAACATGATGTTACTCAACCTCCCTACGTTGCATTTTTTTTTTTTTTTTTTTTGGTACTTTGCTAGGCAATGGGGTTAAGTGACTTGCCACAGCTAGTGAGTGTTAAGTGTCTGAGGCTGGATTTGAAGTCGGGTCCTCCTGACTCCAAGGCCGGTGCTCTATCTACCCTGCCACCTAGCTGCCCCTCTTGCATTTACTTTGCATGGACTTATCACACATCACGTATATGCTTTATTTCTTGGCTCCACAGACAGAACAGAAGCTCACAGATATTACAGACTTTTGTCTCTTATCTTTCTGCCAGTGCATGGCATGAGCAGGTGCTTAATAAATTCCTGTTGACTAACTGAGCTATCTTGCCTACTTTTCTTGACAAATGGTTTGTGGTGATGAAAATTAATTTCACATGTTAGGCATTCAATTAACTGCTCTAACTGGCCAAGCCATACCCTTCAGTCAAGACATGTAAAAAATTCAGAAATCTAATGTGAAATGCTTATATTAATTTTCACTTTTCTAAATCAAAGGCTGAACTGATACAAAAATTTTTGTTCCCACAGTTAAATTAAAAAATAAGATTTTTACCTGTATTATTTCAGGAGCTACCTGGAGAGAAGGGAGGTATTCTTGCTGAAGATACTGAATACATTCTGGGCCCTGAAAATTTAATCAAATGTAAAAACAACCAAACTACAACTTTGTTGTTTAGATAGCAGTTGAATTTTAAAAAATAAAAGCAAACAAATGAAAAAAAAACCCATACTCCCCCTTTACAAATCAGGGGAAAAAACTTGAGTTTACTGCTCTAGAATAATTCTTAAAAAAAGATTTATGTCTAAGCAGAAGCTGCCAAAATCTTATTAATTCTGCTTCTGCTACTGTGCTAATCAGTGGTAGCAGCAGTGACTAGACTCCTAGGAAAGTCAACAATAATAATAGACTGTCACCAGCATGTCACCAGTGGTATCTTCTTCATGTTACCTCTATCAGTGAGTGATCACAGAATAGTGGAATCTTAAACCTAAATGGAACCTAATTTAGTCCAAATCTTCGTGTTAAAGCTAAAGAAACTGAAGCCCAGAGAAATTAAGTAACTTTGTCCACAGTTAATCAACTAGCTGGTTCTACAGTGAGGACTTAACATGTAATTAGTTATTTACAAAGCGCTTTTCTCCCACATATACCTGAACTATGTAGTAGCAACTCACAAATGAAAACAATGAGGTACTTAGCTTGCTCACACTTCATGAAAATGTTTGACTTTCTAATTTTATTTCTGGTCATTCTTGCTTTCACTATAAGATAATACTAAATTCCAAGTGGTTGACTGCTGGTTGAGATTTCTATATCCCTCCTCAAGATGAGGGAGCATCCTACTTTTTTTGGTTATGTTTTATAACAAGAGGGCCACACTCATCTGCAGCTACTTTCATTTTCCCTAGAAACAAGTGACACGAAGTTGCTCAATTACCACTTTAAAAGGATTTGGGATAGAAAAAAATTAGATTCAATATATTAAAGTTCTTACCTTTATACAGATAAATCTAAATATAATATTCAAGAACACACATGCAAAACTTACCCTTTTGAGATGAATTGTTTTTAGAGTCACTGCACACTCAGATAAAGCCTGTGGAAAAACAAAGCTTAATAGTCAGTTCCTGCTTATTTCTTTTCAAATTAGACAAATGGCTGAGTCTACAGATACTTCCCCTCTTCTGTGTCTTTCTTACTGTTCTCACATGGATCAAAAGGAAGGAGTTTAGCATGAGAAAGGCGACAGGCCAGAAGTGGGGTATACAGGGAAATCTGAGGATAGGGGGCAGAGTTGAACGGTCTATCCCCAGCACAAGTTCCTCCTTTCATAACTTTCTAGACAAAGTTATAAGGAAAAATGTGCAGAGAAGTTGTAAGTTTTTTGGTTTTTTTTGTAAATCACATCCAGGCTTGATACAAAACAAAAAAGGTGCCCTGAGATTTCTGAAATAATGTACATGTTAGAAAATTCACCAACTTCAATTATCAGGAGAATGTATCTTTGTGATTTTTGGCTGTTACTCTAAATCAACAGAGACAGCATGGCATAGTGAAGAGAGAGCTGGCCACAGAGCCAGGAAAACCTGGGTTCAAGTGCTGACTCTGAGACAATAAATTATTAAGAAGAAGAACTGCTAGGAGTTTGGAAGAACTGGGCTTACTATGATACCACACACCACAGGTGGACCTCACTATTAAGAGTCACACCCTAACAAGATCAGCAGTAGAAAGAACAGGTACTAGATATAACTGGGGAGGACAGTACTTAACTAAACCAGGAAGAGAGGCAATTGCAAAAGATAAAATAAGTAATTTTGATTATGCAAAATTGAAAAGCTTTTGCAATGAGATTAAGAGCTGCAAATCAGGAAAAAAACTCTTTGCGTCAAAAATCTCTAAGGGATTGATATCAAAGACATACAGGAAATAAATTCATACACAAAATACTGACATGTCTGAAAAAATAGTCTTCAGAGAAAAGGGACACTGCTTGAAAAGTATTTGGAGTTACTTGGGCTATGTGGACAAGCATTAGGAAGGGAGGAAGGATTTATAGACAGCATTTACTACGTACCAGGTATGGCTTGAATCATTTTACCAGATTATCTCCTTTGATCCTCACAACTACCCTGGGAGTAGGTGGGGGTGCTGTTATGATCCCCATTTTATAGCTGAGGAAGCTGAGGCAGTTATTGCCTTAGATTAAGTAACCTGCCCTGGGCCACACAGTTAGGAAATATGTGAGGCTGGAATTGAACTCAGGTCTTCCAGACTTCAGGGCCAGTGGCCTATCCACTGCACCTCCATCTCCTCTCTACAGAGGACGGATTTTAAAAACAATTGCAAATAAGGAAAACAGGACTTTACAGAGAAAAGAAGTCAAACTGTGGTGAAGGGGCACTGAGAAAGGAGTATACAATAACTGGAAGAAGCGAATAGGTTTACAATCAATGTTTAAATGTTTTGAGGTGGTGTTTCAGGGACACTATATTGCTCTTTTTATTAGCACAAAAACCAGTCATATGAGTTGCTAAAATAGATAGATTTTTAGTAACACAAAAGTTAGAGTCAACATGAATTAACGTTTTTAAAATGAACCTAAATTGAATTAAAAAAAAAAAAATCTAACAGCCAACTTGGCCTTTGTAAAAGACAACAACTTATATGATTTAAACAAAAATTTCTAGGTCCTTACCAAAACTGTTTGTGCATCTGCCAGGTCAAAAGTTTGTTTTAAAGGTGCTAAGAAACAAGCAGGAACAATGTGTTTGTAGACAAAATCAGCAAATCCTACTGGTCCATCTTTGCCCCCTGTGAAGAGAATACAGATTTTCATTTTGTGTAAAGAAATTAATTATGAATGTATCAAAGCAGTAATTAAGTGTCAACTTATGGTATATGCCAGGACTAAAGGGTTCTGAACCCCAAAAGTTGGAAGAGAGGGAAGTTCAGACCAGGAGACAAAAACCAGATGATAACTAAGCACCTCACTTACCCCAGAGGTCCACAAGCTTTGAGAGGATGATAAAGCATGTTTTCTGGGCAATAGGATCTGGATATTCTACTGCTCCTTGAATGATAGTCACCAATACTCTTTCAACATTCTCTGCACCTAAACAGGTAGAAATAAATGCTTCAATGTGGTTTCAACAGAACTCAAGATTTTTTAAAGCTCCTATTTCAGACATGACTCAAAACCCTCCCCTAAAATTCCAGTCTCAAAGTTGAAAACACTTGTCGCTCCTACTTCGAGATAAAAAAAAATTAATACTAGGTATGTAATATGATGTTCATGCTTTGAAAAGGTTTTAACCCAAAAACATGAAGTCACAATAAGATGGACACATGAGTATTAACTATTATATACCCCCACCCAGCCCTACACAGAAGGGTTTTCCTTTTAGTAATACAAGGTATCTCCAAAGTCTTAGTTTTAAGCTGTACTAACACTCTGGGGACACCATATACACAGTGACAGACAGACATACACATGCCCTTCAATTTATTGTCATCATAGTTTGATAGGCTGGATTTAACAAATAGCTAACATTTATACAAGGATTACTATGGGCCCTGCAGGCACTGTGCTAAGCCCTTTACAATGATCTCATTGAGCATCACAACCACTTGGGAGGTAGGTGCTACTATGATCTCTATTTTACAGCTGCAGAAACTAAGGTAAACAGACATGAAGTAACTCGCCCAGAGTCAAACAACCAGTAGGTAACTGAGGCTGGATTTATACTTGGGTCTTCCTGATCCCAGGCTCTGTACTCTATCTACTGTCCCAGCTGGATTTCTGCAAAATGATGAAAATCATCAACTATCATAATTTCCAGATATAGTTACTTCTTTATATTCTTTCCCTTCAAAGCTAAATTCAATAAATTTAAGTTTCCCTATCGGTTTCCTATTTAAAACACTCTCTGAAGAGGCGAGATTCTGCTTTCAGGATGGGCAAAGAGAGGTAATATTAATCTTAGGAAAATTCTGTTAGCAAGAAGAGAGCAAATCTACTTTGAGAGAACCATGATGGGACCAAAAAAAAAAAAGTAACTATTACCCCTCTGGGACTCTAAAGTGGAGATTTCTAATTCCCTAAAAAGCATTCAAAGAATTCTACAAAGGTGCTCCCAAATTTATCACGTATATTCTTTATGGACACCCACACCAGGACAGGTGTGTGTGGTAGCTAATCAATAGTCTTTGCAACATCTCCCCACATCCCTACCCCGATCTCATGGCTGACCTCCAATCTTGCATCTCCAGCAGCCTTTTAGACATCCTGAATTTACGTCCAGTAGACAACTTATACTCAGTATGTCCAAAACAGAACTCATTATCTTTCCCCCTGAACCCTTCCCCCCTCCATTTCTTATTACTGCAGGCGATAACCACCATCCTGCAAGTCCCCCAGGCTCATAAACCAGGAGACAAAGCCTGTCAATTTCATTTCTGAAAACATCTCCTGAATATACCTCCTTCTCCCACCTGACACTGCCAGCACTCTAGCACAGGCCCTCATCACCTCCCACCTGGATTATTGTAATTCCCTGACAGTGGGTCAGCCTGCCTCCACTCTCTCCCCTACTTCAGTCCACCCTCTACTCAGGCACCAAAGTGATTTTCCTAAAGTGCAGGTCTGACCACATAACACTCCCCACCCCCCATCGCCCAATAGACTCCAATGACTTCCTATTGCCTCCAAGATCAAATACAAAATGCTGTTTGGCATTCAAAACCCTTCCTAACCAGCCCCCTCCTACCTCTCCAGTCTTCCTACTCCCCAACATATCCTCTTTGATCCAATGACACTGGCCTCCTGCCTATTCTATGAACAAGACTTTCTCTTAGCTCCAGGCATTCTCTCTGGCTGTCCCCCATGCCTAGAACACTCTCTCTCTTCACTCCAACTACTGACCTCCTTGGCTTCCTTTAAGTCAAAACTAAAATCTCTCTTCTATAGGAAGCCTTCCCAACCCCTCTTAATTCCAGGGCCTTCCCTCTGTTATATATATCTCCTATTTATCCTGTATAGAGCTTGCTTTGTATATATTTGTTTGCATATCATCTCCTCCATGAAACTGTAAGCTCCTTGAGGGCAAGGCCTGTCTTTTGCCTCTTTTTTGTAACCCCAGGACTTAGCACACAGTGCCCATCACATATTAGGTCCTTGATAAATGTTTATGGAATTGAATTTGTTGACCAACTAAATTAAACAGTTGTGAGAAATAATTCATTTGGACCTCTACTCTATTCCAATCAGTATTAATTGGTTTGCTATGATTCCACGGGGCAGTGATAAGTTCTGTACATTAGGCAGGAAAACTGAGCTGCAGATTGTAAATCCACTTACTTAATCACAGGAAGCCAACAAGAGGCCCTCAAACCTTGTTTTTCCTTGTTATGGTGACCAAGCCCAGTGTGGTGGAGGTGACTTGATGACACGGAAAGTCCCCCAACCTATTTTTGTGCCTCCAGACCATTCTCTCCTTTCCAACATGAGCAGATGACAATCTTATGACCACTTAGTCAGTGGAGATGCCTGATGCTTGGCCCAACCCAAGAACCCCCTACTGACATATCATTTCTAGCCGATGCATCATTTTTTGGCCTGAGAAGCAAGATCAACCAATGGGATTCTGTACTTTGCATAGCCTCTTTAGCATGTTCAGGTATCAGATCTTAGAAAAATAAGGCCCTGGAAGAAGGAGACCATCTCAGATCGTGAGGGAAGATTTGAGGTCCACTTCATCAGAGGGGACCATAGACCCTTTAATAAAGTGCCACTGGCTCAGAGCTCTGCCTCAGTGGTTTTTCTTGTAGATTGGGCAATTTTAATCCCAACAGTGTCTATTTAAAATACCCAGTTCCCCCATTAAAAACACATCTATGGTAATGTGCTAAGCTGAGAAGACAATTTACTTTATGTAGTTAATAAAAGGAAGCCAGTGTGCACTTTCTCACCCTGATTGGCTATGACTTCACTCATGCCACTTCCTGTGACTGTCTGCAGGAAAGCAAAGTAGCTCCTCCTCAACATCTGCTTTTCCAAAGCGGCAGATTGGTCATTTTCTTCTGCGGGGCGAAGCAACGCTTCAAAAATGGCATGAAGTAAGGGCATGAACATCTGCTGTAAAAATGGTGACACCTGCGTCTGGGAAGAGAAAAAAAGATCCAAGTTTCTGAACCGCAAACCCTGGACAGGAAGACTGATCCTCACCTTAATCATCTCAAATGAATGAAAAAAACCAACTTCATTATACAAGGACCTGATGAGGTGATGTGACAAGCTCCAGGGACACGGAGAACAAGGTGGGAGGTTCCGGGCTCGTGGGGGAGGTGTGGCTGGTGATGGCGCCATAGGGGGATGGGGGTGGTACTTGGACATTTCCTCTTCTAGGAGCAGAGATCCAGAGTTCGAACATTTGAGGTGTATGAAGGGGAGAGGGACAGGAGAGCTGGAGGGATGGCTGGCCAGAAGCCAGGTGCAGTGGGTCACACAAAGTAGACCCCCCCCAAGGAAGATTCTGGGTGGGGAGGAGGAGTATAAACACAACACGCTTTCAAGTTTAATCTGCATTATTAATATTGTCTAGACTTAAAAAGTGAAGGAGAAAATCAACAATACAATAAATCAAGCCCTGTTTTGTAGGGCTGACTCATTTCTAAAATGTAAATGCTCACATGGAAAATTTAACAATCAGCTTAAGCCCCTATGAGCTGGCTCCAACATAGCACTGGGTGAAAGGGTCCAGACGGCAAGGCTGCTGGAGAGAAGAGGGCCTCACGAATCCAGAAGCAGCCTGCTGGGATGGGAAGAGGGGCTGATGAGAAGAGCTAGGCCTAGAGGGAGTGTGCAACAGGGCCCCAGGGAGGGTACTCGTCTCTGGAGGGGAACTAGTAATCCACACTACCCCTGAACTAGGCAGTCAAGAGCAATGTTTGTACACAACTTCACACACTAAGCATGCCCTGAAGCTTTACTTCCATCTTGAAATAACAAACTCCACTCCACTTAACAGAACCTAAAATCACGCTGAATTATCAGAGCCAGCTAGCTGACAGCAAAAAATTTCTCTGTGGTTTGCCGAGTTAAGCATTTAGGCCTTTTAATCAGCTGAGGGAATTCCATTGTCCAGTTATACATTTGCTTACCAAAAAATGACATTCAAAATATTAGATTATTAAGAAACAGCATCCAGCTTCTATATGTAAAACTAAGGGATCAGAGATGCTGCAACAAACCTTTATGAAGATGCAATTTATCTTTGCGAATAACAATGACTAACGAATACAAACTTTAGAATTCTTATGAAAATTATTTATTGAACAAAATTTATTATTTTGGGCAAAGTAATCAAAGTCTCATCATAACATCGAAGAATAATTTTAAATACCTGGTTCTACTGGCAATTTGTTAATAATACTACATGAATAGACTGATACTTTGAGGTTGCTATTTTTGTTATACTATTGTGTGACACAGAATTACTGTGCTGAACACATAATGTAATTGGTGTAAATACTTTTCCTGCACCAAAGCAGACTGCAATCTCTCGATACCTCAAGGAGAGTGAGAGTGATGGGTTGTTCACGCTGGAGGTGACAGGCTGGTTTTCAAATGACACAATTCACTCCAACTAGGAACTGCTAGAGGTCATGCTTCACTAATTGGGTGCACCTATGGAGAAGCCGTGGAGGGAGCAGGATCTGTGACCGCCTGGATACCACTTAACTCCAAGTTCCCTATTTAAAACATACGTGAGGCATCCAGTCTTCTTCAATAAGAGAATTCTCCTTGGCTGCAATAGTGAAGGGAGAGTGGAATGCAGAAAAGGGTGTGGGGCATTTTTTTACACTGAGCAAAACAAAGCACAGGCCAGAACATGCCGGAAGACAACCTCGTTGCCAGCCACCTGGACTAGAGGATCTTGAATGAATCCATACCTTGAACTTGGCCGTAATCTGATTGATGAGAGGAATGAATTCCTGAAGGTCCTTGGCTTCACAGTCTTTGAGCATGTGTTCTGAGGCTGAAGGGATGAAGGGAAGAACTTCTTCCTCCAGACAAATGATCATTCGATGAAGGAAAGTACGTACGCCACTTCTGAGAATCTCCTTCTGTAAAGGACAGCTGAGGGCTGGCAGAAATGTCTGTAAACAGTCCAAATAAACCTCAGAACAGCCACACTGTTTCACAGTCTGTTTGTTGCTGAAAGCTTTACTTGTTCGGCTGTGTAAATAATAAAATTGAAACTTAATTGAAACTTCTTTAGTAATGTTACTTAACATCCACAGATTAGAAAATGGAAAAGGTTGTCAATATAATTTGCTCTACTAAAACCAAGAAAAACATGGGTTATTTTGGTAGCACAATGATTTCTAGCAGGTAGCATTTCTAGCACACATGACCATTACCCAGTCAACTAGATAAAAATACAACTGACAAATATTCCACAAAATAAAAATTGTTAGAATTAACATAAATTAATGTAGACAATGTCTCTCTAAGTCAGTATGTGCCTGAAGGGATCCTCATATACCTTAGACAGGTCCCTGTTCCCATGTGAATTTGACACTATTGATTTGTTGCATTCTTTAGCCTTGGGATTTATGGGATACTGGGGTAAATACACCTGAAAATGTGAAATATAATAAATAAATGATAATAATACTCTAAAATTGTCCTTTTTGATGCAAGGATGTTAAAAGTATTGGTTAACAGAGTATAAAGACCAAAGAGAAATAAAAAATACTTAAAACTATGGATTAACAGGTACTAGGTACCTCAATACCTAACTCACTCAATTTCCCCCGGAAATGATGAGCTCAAGTGCCAATGCAACCTTCTGGTCAACATGGAATGGTTTTCTTACTCGAAAGATGTAATTGCATTACAGCTTCATTAATATATGGCTTCTATCTAGATCTCTGGTTTTTATCAAGAAGATTAAATCCATGATAACAAATCTCAGACACACATCCACTTGGTAGGTATGTTATCATGGGGTTTCCTAACAGGTATGGAATAGTCACAGAGGTTTCTTTTGCTGCTCACATTTTGTGATTCTGTTACTTGTATGTATTTATAGCTTCGTGAATTAGTAGCAAGCACTGATCTTTTGCAAAAGAAGAGAGGTTCTGATGTAAAAGGCTCTTGGTTGAGTAATGATGCAGAATCCGAATGACTTAACATGCTAAAGTATTTAAGTAAGAATCTCAGGATCCCCCTATTTGTAAGTGTTAAGGCAAAGGCATAAGGTTCCAAATTCAGCATTTACATAGAAGTATACACTTTCTTAAGTCTCCAAACCTGCAGGTTCTAGTGACTTCCAAAGGATTAACATATTACGAGCCCAATCAGAAGGTTTAAGGACTGTGAATAAAATGGGATTCGCTTCACAAAATCAGCACATTTCTGGATTTCACTAAAACTTTTGTTATTTGCTGTACCTACTCTGACATGATCAAACGACTGTTTATTTCTTAAGAAAGTTCTATGGATGTAATTCTTCATTTAAAAAAAATTATAAATTTATACTCACCTGGCAAACCCAACAGCATGGTTGAGACAGTCTGCTAGGGCTGCCTGCCTTTCTTCATCTTGCGCCAGCATCAATTTTTCTAACAAAATTTTAAACTTTTCCATTAACGGAGTCAACAGATTCCTCATTAAAGCCTGCTTCCTTTCTGCTGGATAGTCACTGTTAACAATTAGTACTCCTGCGGTCTCATAAATAAAAAGCTGATCATCACTGCTCAGCAAAGACTGGTAACCATTTTCCTAGAACGAGATTTATGTCCTTTAATGACGCTCTAGTTCATCCCATTTGCTCATAAAAATAAAACGAGCAACAATCACAGAATGAGTCAAAAGAACAATTTATTTAAAAAATTGATCTAAATAACTCATTCAGAAAATATTTAAAGTGCATTTTAAGTGTAGCCATTTTAAATGGCTGTATTATATAAAGTATATATGAACTACCGTAAATCAAAAATCCTTGATTCTAAACTTTTTTAGGCAGGGGAAGGAGTTAGGGTAGGATGGCAGCAGGAACCTGAACAAGATTACTTATATGTGTCAGTTTCTTATTTGTAAAAAAATTTTTGTAGCTATGTTAAAGGGTTGATAAGGTTAAGATAAAAATAGGATATTAGTGTACTCAGAGAAAGCAAAACACAAATTCAGTGTGCATTTGAAAAAATCTTACTCTAATACTAAAAATTAGAGTCTTCAGAACTAGTTTGAAAGTATTAAAACAGAAGTTATGTTACAAGCATGTCTGAAAGATTGCAAACAAAATCAAGTAAATTAAATTGTGAGCAAGTATGGCCACAAGATCACTTTAACACATATTCACTTATAGATACTTTAATTAACTAATTTATATTTATTTTGGATTTGCATTACCATTTTTCACAGAAACTACACAAAAAAAATCTTCAAGTACCACTAGACTTTAAGAAAAGATAACACAAGGTCCAGTCTTCTAAGAGATAAAGGCATAGTTTATTTATATTAAAAAAGAATTACTTTGCCTACCCTGAAATGATGAAATATACCTATTTTATTTTTACTTTTTGCAAGGCAATCAGGGTTAAGTGACTTGCCCAGGGTCACACAGCTAGTAAGTGTCAAGTGCCTGAGATTGGATTTGAACTCAGGTCCTCCTGACTCCAGGGCCGGTGCTCTATGCCACCTAGCTGCCCCAATACACCTAATTTTATGTCAGTTTCAGAAATATACCTATTGTATAAAATGAAATGCCAAATTATTTGGGAAAATCTATCAACAAACTTGAGACAAACAAAATTGTGAGTCAGGACTTATTTAACTAAATACAAATCATTATTTATACTTGTCTAAAATCTGTCTAAAAATGCCTATCTAATAAATAGCTTTTCTACTAGAAAGCCCTTATCAGTATATCTACTTTCACATAAAAGCCCTGAGCAATCAGTGAGAGCTGCCAAGGAACTTTTCAAGGAAAGGGAAATAAATTGTGCAGTGTATCATAGGAGACAAATGTAGAAAAAAGAACAGGTGGATTTGTCAGCTGACTGACTAGTTTTTTCTTGAAGAGGTTGCATGGGAGAGCTGAGAAGATGCTCATATGTGTCTAACGAGCCTTTGCTGTAAAATGCAATTTTTATTATGCTGGAGAACACTGGAATTGTCTTATAAACTAGAAAACACAGATATCGTTCAAGAAAAGAAATAATGTGCACAGCAGGACTGAATACCTCTGGAAAAGATTTCAGTTAACCAAGCCTCCTGAAATTGTCATTAATTATAACAAGTCCTATAAAAACATCTGTATTGAATGATTCTTGAATTTCCCACCCTGAAGCTGAAGCTATCAGTACTCATTTAAGAATGGCTGCCAGCGGGGGCAGATAGGTGGTGCAGTGGATAGAGTACTGGCCCTGGAGTCAGGAGGACCTGAGTTCAAATCCAGCCTCTGACCAAATACTTGACACTAGCTGTATGACCTTGGGCAAATCACTTAACCTGAATTGCCTAAAAAACAAAAAAATTTTGACTGACAGGGATAGCCCTGCACAAAGCAGCAGTTCCCAAACTACTTGCTATCATTAATATTTCAAACAATGAGAGGATTGAGATGAAAAGTAATCAGCAACTACCAGTATCAACAGGCTTTGGGTTCTCTCTATTTGCCATTTCTGTGCTCCTAAAGGGCAACCTCAGTATTAACTAACTGTGAAAACCTTGTCAGCAAAAGAACTGATACTTACAGGTGGAGAAAGCTCCAACAGGTCTTGAATTCTGTTCAAAATGTCCTCAATGAAAGCATTCATTTGTTTACTGAAAAAATGTTGAAAAAGAAAAAGAAGAAAATAAAGGTTTTAAATAAAATGCTTAAAAGCCCAGGAAAATAAATATAATACTTATTTTGGAAACACAACAACATGGTCCCTACAACATACATACTCACAAGTGGTTCTGATTTGGGGGGAAAAAACCTTCAATTTTTATTTGCTACACTCAAAATCTTTTGTAAAAGCAGGACCCATAATCCTATGAAGCCAACAGCAAAAACATCCAGAACACTGAATAAACCAGCTCTTTCTCCAGACTAGATTCCCAGGACGAACCCCTCACATGATCCAAAGTAGCAAATGAGACTGCTGGTTTAAGTAATGGCTAGCAGTTGATATGGGAACAGAAGCCAAGCCCAAAAAGATATTTAAAAAAGGGAAACCACAAACTATAGTAGCCACTATGCAGAAAAGAGAGAACATAAAATGAAGAATGATATGACAAGAGATATTTCATTCAATAAACAGCTAATATTTGTTTCATGGAAAAAGTTCAGGCAAAATTAAAATCCAACCTATAATCTTGGGAAAGAATTTAAGCAGTTATTTCAGACAAACTTCTATTACATTGATTAAAATCTTCTAAATAAGTGCTGTTAAAAAAACAAAAAAAACAACAACAAACAAACCAGCAGCAGTTGAAAACAGTTTCCACTTACTTGAGGGATTTGACAAATCTGGAGAAGAGATAAGCTGTTCTGCTCCGTACTTTTGGACTAGAGTGGCGTAGGCCTCTCTGGTCTAAGAACGCCATCTAGAGGGGAAAACCAAAGTGCTTTTTACACTTTCCATGCCCTTGCACAACATGTATTCTGTTATCTGTGTCCTTATGATTTATTACAATATCTTAAGTTCCTAGAAGATTAAGGCCCAGGTCTGCCCAAATTCTTCTATACAAAAGCTAGCCAGCCAAACACAAGGAGACACTTGTAGACTTAGTCATTAGAATACAATTTACTCAAAGTTTACAAAGAAAAAAGCAGTTCTGTGCAAAAGAGTTGAAAATAACTGAAAAAAAGAGTCTGCTCTGGGAGAAGCTAGAAAGCACAGATAACACACAAAACTAACCAATACAGAATTAATGGCACTTACTAGAACACAAGGAATGTGTTGAGGTTCAACGGCAAAAAACTTTTCATATCGAACTACAGTTTCAAAGAACTCTAACGTCACTGATGTATGCTGATAGGCACTGACACCAGATGTTACCAACTGCGGTGGAGAAAAAAATGAGAAATGAGTTAAGAGTTCCATTAGTTCATAAGGAAATAACTGGCTTTTTAAGAAGGTAAAATTCCATCATCTTCAGTCACATACTTACAGTCCGTATCATATCCTGCAAAGCAGTAGCTTTTGAAACATCACCTGAGAAGTGGGCACCATGAGACACTGGAAGCGCTTCTGCCAACATATACAGCAATCTTATTGCCACTTCGACTTCCATAAACCTAGTAGCTTGCCAATTCCTGAAAAAAGATAAGGCGTCAATGTGATCTGCATACACACTCAAGTTAGAGTTTCGCAGTTGTAGATCCTGAATGTCTTAAGAAATATAGTAAGGTAGTAATGAAATGCATTTCTGATTATTTAAAGCAATCTTTGAAGCTTCAAATGTTTTAACCTAGGAAAAGTATTAAGTTGTATATACTAGGTAAACGCATTCATCTAAAAGATTTTTATTGATTTTACTGTGGGCATCGAAAAATGTCGAGGTGGAGGGAGTGGTGGGCAGATGGATCAAATAAATGATTAGAAATGTTCATTTCTGTTGCCCAGACATTTAATCTTGAAATTTTGACATGCATTCTATATATAGTGAGACCATTTATTTTAAAAAAGTACCAGGAAAATAAAACAACTTATCTGGAATAAAGAAGCAAACAAAAACACCTGACCCAAGTATTCAAGTTCATGTCTAAAAGGAACAATGCTAAGTACCTAAATCATAATTCAACGCACAATTATGTCTCTCCCTAATTTGAAATGCTTTTTTGAGAAGAATTTTTGCTTGAGGCAAAAATCAGATAAAATATTCACTGCAACTTGCTTCGTCAAATGATACTCTTATACGTTGACTATTTGACATATATTTCTAAATGATCTATTTTATTTCTCCCAACTGATCATTTATATTAGTAACAACATGTATAAAGCATTTGAAATGTTTGTCACTTTTACATATCCAAATAGAGGCCTCCAAGGAACAAAGTCCCCTCCAGGGTTAACAAGGAAGGTTGTAATAAGCATTTGAAATAAGGAACACACTAAAGCAGAATACTAGGAGAGGCAAGGAAATAGATGTAAGCGCTGTGACAAAGGGTTTGGCATAGAACACCAGACATTGGCATAGACAGTCAGGGTGAGGAGAATTCACATCTTGGAACAAAACTCAAAGCAGATGATAGAAGGAAGGCCCACAGTAATGCATTAACTTGCTTGTAGTCAGTTGGTGAGCAGCAGAGTCAGAACTCAAAACCTGGCTCTAAATGCAGGACCCTTTCTACCACCTTCTTATGTCTCAGGTTCTACTTCCTCCACCTCATGGAGTGATTGATATGTCAATCCCAAACCTGGCCTGTAAGTAAAATTACTACTTCAAACCTTGTTTCTGTCTAAACACACATAAGCTTTCAAGTTAAGTCACACACAAAAAAACTTACTGTAGTGTAGTGCTAAAAACTCTACGAACAGAAGCCAGCAACAACTCTGGAGAGACTTGAGCAAGCCGATCCAACAATAACTTCAGTTGTTTTCTATATTCTACAAACATAGCTTCGTCTTCACCCTGAAATGATTTTTTAAAAATATACAACTGTAGATTTCTAAAATATGGTACATCCTAAAACATAGTCAAACTATATAAACACTGTCCCGCACAAGTCCTAGTTGTGAGCTGCCAGTATATACTATTAGATACACAAAACATATGGCTACCCCCCCCATATATAACCATATATATGGCATTATACTAGGTGCTAGGGGAAAACAAACAAAAAAAAAGATTTTGCCCTCAAGCAACTTACATTCTACAGAGAAGGTGAGTGGAATACATGTGTAAGTATAACACAAGATAAATTAAAGAAGGAAAAACTAACAATTTAGGTGGCCAGGGAGTTTGAAGAATGAGGGAAGCCCCCCCCCCAAACACTTAATAGTATTTTTTTCCCCGCTTACATGTACAGATCGTTTTCACATTCATTTTTTTTTTAATTTTGAGTTCCAAATTTTTCTCCCTAAGACAGCAAGCAATCTGATACATGTACAATCATGTTAAAGAAGAATCAGAACAAAAGGGAAAAACCATGAGAAAGAAAAAACAAAAAAAAAAGTGAAAACAGTATTCTTCCATCTGCATTCAGACTCCATAGTTCTTTCCCTGGATGTGGATAGCATTTCCATCATGAGTCCTTTGGAATTGTCTTGGATCATTGTATTGCTGAGAAGAGCTAAATCTATCATAGTTGATCATCGCACAATGTTGCTCTTACAGTGCACAATGTTCTCCTAAGTTCTGCTCATTTCACTCAGCATCAATTCCTGTAAGTCTTTCCAGGTTTTTCTGAAATCTGACTGTTCATCATTTCTTATAGCGCAATGGTATTCCATCACATTCATATACTGCAACTTGGTCAGCCATTCTTCATTTGATGGGCATCCCCTCAATTTCCAATTCTTTCCCACCACAAAGAGCAGCTATAAATAATTTTGTACATGTGGGTCCTTTTCCTGTTTTTATGATCTCTTTGGGATACAGACCTAGTAGTGGTGTTGTTGGATGGGCATAGTTCCAAACTGCTATGAGAGAAGACTTGGCTAGGAGGGCACCTTAAGAGACAATGACTCTGAAAAGCAGAGCTAGAAAAGGAGTGTATTTCACATAGGGGAGCCAACTCAGTGGAGTACAGAGAGACAGATGGAGTCCTGAGCCTAAGAAAGAGCCAACAGTTTAGTTTCTATGGAATATAGAGTGGGCGAAAGGAATAACACTAAGAAGTCTGGAAAGGTTGATCAAAGCCAGACTGTGGTAGCCCTTAAATGTCAAGCTATTTGTATTTTACTCTAGAAGCAGTAAGAAGCCAGTGATATTTAGGAAGAAACGGCACAGTCAGATCTGTACCTAACAAGATTCTTTTGGTGCCTGACTGGAGGATGGATGGGAGAAGGGAGAAGCAGGTAAACCAATTATGACCAATGATATTGCAGTATTCCAGACAAGAGGTGATGAGAGCCTGAACTAAGTTAGTGGCTATTTGAAGGGAGGTAAGGGGATCAATGTGAAAGATTATGGAGGCAAGAGTTGACAACTGGTTGGATATATATAATGAGGAAGAATAAAAAGTTAAGAATGAATTCAAAGTTATGAAACTACTACTCTGAGGTTAAAAATTACATAAAATTTTATTTGTTAGAAATATCTACCATCTCCTCTTACTGGCCCAACAAGTCCTAAAAATCTCAATTTATTTAAAATGACTACAGGACCTTCAGAATTTGTTCAAGCACATCAATTCTGCCCTTTATTCAGAATTCTAGTGTTCATCTGGGAGCAACTACCAACCAGGGAACCTTATTGGGGAGCAAATGACTGATGAGTAGATTATCTCATCAGAGGAACAACACTCCAAAGACGGACAAACCTAAGGGATCTTCACCCTGCGTAGGACAACCTATGAGAAGAACATTCAACACGACTGAAAAGTACGATGGACATCATCCCCCCGCCCCTATCCAGACCCTCAGCCCATCAGTTTTGGGGCCAGCTAAGAGCTGCATTGCAATTGCTCAAGGCTGAGGACAAAAAGCTATGAGCCAATTTTATTCTGGCACATATGACGGCCAAAACATTACATTACTTAAGCTCCCAGAAGGGCATCAATTTAGTGCTTCACCAAGTTTAAAAACAAGGTTTTTTTTTTTTAATCGCCACCAATGCAAAATATTAATGCATTAAAAAATACTGAAAATGAAATCTGATGACTAAGAAGTTTCATATTAAATTTTACCTAAATTTCTTGAAGTTAATAGAGGTGAAAGTGAAATTTCTCACATGCCTTTTCAAGAATTCAAACACTAACAAAACTTAATCTATGGTACTATGAGGCAAATAAAATTGGTAACTAAGTTCCTACACAAATTATTCCCCCAAAGATATTAAAAAACTTACCTCATTTTCAAAATTATATTCTTCATCATAGGTCAATTTTTTCATAACGGCCAACATGATTGCCTATAATAAAGAATGAAGTTTCTTTAAGCCTCATGGTTCAGTTACTTATACTTTTAAAATTAAATGTTTCATGATTCCCAACTTTTATATAATTAACACTCCATTATCAGTTTACAAAAATACTCAACAAAAAGGAAAGTTCTCAGCCTTACCTCTACATTAGCTTTTTGTTGATCAGAGAGCACTGTGAGCTATTAAAAAAAAAAAAAGGCAGTAAATCCAACTTGTATTTATGACAGTCATATCACTTTTTTAGGAAATTTATTTGGCTACTAATTTTAGTTTTATATTTTTTACTCCACTTTCATTTGACTTATGTGGTGAATTTTCCTCCAATGAAACAGTCCTTCCTACCTTAGTACAGCACCTAACCCTTCCTTCCTACCTCAGTAAGCAATCTTCATGAATTTCTGTGGCTTAAATTCACATGGAGGCTCTCTCCTTCCTTTGAGGAGCTTTGTAACATTTAGCTAGGCCAGTCCTCAAAACACTGACATAGGCGAGTCAACTGTCTGGAACTCTTTCTACTTTGGCACATCCGACCAGCTCTTGAATTACAATGGCTTATCTTTTAAGAAAGGATTAGGTCATGTACCTCAGCAGGGACTACTAGTTAAAGAGTTTGAAATAAGTCTAATGTGCATAAATACTACATTAAACAAGATAGTGTTACATGACCTAATATGTGGCTGGAAGGTTCTCAACATCATGGCTGTATCAAAATACACAATGGCCTTCAATTCTTTCCAGACTTTCTCTACCACCCATCTCATGGAAACCTCTTCACCTTGGACTTTTCACAATGAAAGTACCTGAAGACCCTGAGGCCTCTCTGTCTCTGATTTGTCTGGTTTCTCCTAAAATCTCCACTCTGAAGATGCCCAAGCCAGCCAAGTTTACGTTCCTCTCCATCCTGAACCCTTTCTCTACCATACACGCCATTGAAACCTCTTCACCCTGGACACTGTCCACCCCTACAGCCCTGCACCCCTTGAACAACTCTTCACCCATGTGCCTCTTCGCCCGACTGGCTGACTATTGCTGGGAATCTCCACTTTAAGGAAGATGCCCAAGCTAGACATGTCTTCGTTGCTCTCCATGCTGTGTTCTCACTACTATGCTCCCTTGAGGTTATTCTCTCTTTTCCTTCCCCTATGTGTTGTCCTCCTCCTTAGGATGTAAGCTCCTTGAGGGCAGGGACTGTCTGTTTTTGTGTTCCCAGCGCTTAGCACCATGCCACGCACATAGTAAGCATTTGATAAATGCTTATTGACTTGGCCTACAAAACTTAAGAATGTTAGGACTAACAATATGCCTTACAGATCATGCAACCTCAGGCTACTTAAAGTAATTTTTTTCAGGGCATATGGGATTGACCCAATGTGTATGATTTACGGGAGGACAAAGACAAGTTAAACAGAATGAAAGGAACAGATACATTATGATTTGTACTGCTGGAGTGAGAAACCACATCAATGAGATCATAGATGGATTAAAGAATTAATCTATTGTTTATAAGAATTCAAACAAGACATGTTTTTTTTTGGGGGGGGGGGGTGAGGCAATAGAAGTTAAGTGACTTGCCCAGAGTCACACAGCTAGTGAGTGTTGTGTATGAGGCCGGATTTGACCTCAGGTCCTCCTGACTCCAAGGCCAGTGCTCCGTCCACTGCACCACCCAGCTCCCCCAAACAAACCATGTTTGATAGGACTCTATCACAAGAGACACTAACATTTCAAAGTCTAAAATTAAACGTGATAATTACTTCGGCACAGAACTACTTTTGAAACAGTATCAACTTACCTGTTTCAAAATGTGAAGGTAATCATAACAAAATCCAATAATGTTCGAGGAGATGTCATCATCCTCATGAATTAGGAGCTGTAACATTAGAGCCACTTTTGTTTCAATAGCCTGAAGTGCCTCGTGAGCATTCTTCATGTCCCCATTCTTAACCAGTTTAGTCCAGCTGACGATCAGTGATTGCCCCATTCCATTTACTAGCTTAGAAAATCTGGCTAAGAAGTCCACATCTTCTTCCTGTAAGCAATTAATGAGATCATTAACATAATTTATTACATATAATTCAAAGCACCAATAAAAGTTATCCTAAACATAGTACCAATTTTTAAAAACTAAAGCATCAGCGACATACTGCTTCAAAAAGTAACTACAAATTTCTTTTGGAGGCTAAGCATCACTAACAAGTTAAAGTTTCTGGTTTCTGTATCTTATTAAAAATGAATCTAAATGTTCAGGGAAAACTGCTATCTTATAAACATTTTTCTCTATCCATTAATGTTCTATTTTCATCATTTAAGGTCATTTTAATGATCAGGGAATAACTATTCAGTTACGAGGAAAAACAGAAGTATTAAGTGTCAGGAGGAACAATGAATATGAGAAGGATGAGAAATAACTTTGTAGCATTATTATACTAATATATTATATCAAACATTATTTATCTCCTATAAACCTCTTAATATACAAAGCTTTCTCTAAGTCTCTGGGAAAAACTTTTAAAAGTTGAAAAAGTTAATATTTGGTCATTGATAAGTATTTTCAATTTAGAAAACCTGCATAAGAATTCTACAACTTCTTATATGCAATGAAAAGACGCCATCACTTTAACACAAATTATACCAAACCACCAATTTACCAAAGGTGAATTAAGACCACTTTCCAAGTACAGGAGGAAGGCTTGAAAAGAAAGATAAAATTATAGAGGTGAAATTTTTTTTTAATTTAGAAATACCCTTTGAAACAGGCCCACTGTTTTTAGCACCAAAAATGTTATTTTCTTACCTTCTCTATTTAAAACTAAAATAGCTTAACAATTATGATTTGCAAAATTGATATTTCAGTTATTCAACAATCTCCCTCAAGTAATGAGTATTACTGCCCTCAACCTAAAACTGTTTAATGGCTGCTGTGGCCATAAATAAATAAACAAACAGACAGTTAGAAGATTTGGTGGCCAACCTGGCAACCAAGCCTTCTTTACACTTAGCAAGGTATCTATCAATAAGCACTGAATTAAAGTTTTTCCAACTTGTCAAACCTAAAGCATTAAAGAATATTTTAGGGGCACCTAGGTGGTGCAATGGACAGTGTGCTGGCCTTGGAGTCAGAAGGACCCAAGTTCAAATACGACCTCAGACATTTGACACTTACTAGCAGGGTGACCCTGGGCAAGTCACTTAACCCCAATTGCCTCACCAAAAAAAGAAAAAGAAAAGAAAGTTTCTAAATTTATAAAACAAAATGAACAGGATTAGTATATAAAGCAATAATAGCTGGTATTTATATATTGAAATAAATATACAAATGAAATAAAATTATAAAAAAAAGAACATTTTAAAATCTAGCTTCTCCTCCAATACACCCCTGACAGTGTCTAGCATGAAAGGCAGCATGACACAATGGACAAGGGGTTTCAGTCACACATATTAGCTGTTCATCCTTGAGAGAACCCCTTCACTTCTCTCAGGATCTCAGGCCTTAAGTTGCAGAGAAGATGCTGACATGCACTGGCAGAAGGAGTTTCCTCACCTGGAAGTTCCCCATTACCAATAAAATCATTTAGCCTCTATTTCTATGACAGAGATCAGCAAGGTTTCTTCATGATTTTTACATACCTGCTTAAGAACATGTTTTTTAAAACCGATTTCATCAGAGAATGAAATTATTTTGAAAACACTTGCTTTGTTAGGACTAAGACTAAATAGCTCTAATTAATTGGAATTTCTAGATGTTACATGCATTTGTTTCATCAGCAACTATGTACGTATGTTTCCTAGTTATAATTACGGCCGTATGGAAGTTAAACGCGTGTTGGATTAATGGTATGGCTCAAGGTTAAGCCTACAGCTGTCACTGGAACCCTTTCGACATAGCATTTCTTTACAACTACAAATATTAGATTTCATTCCTGTCCCAAGCAAGCCCACCCATTACAATTAAGCTTCAAGTCATCTTACTAACCTGTTCAATGCTGAAAAATCCTGCAGACTGTAACACTTGACATAAGGATTCCACTAGTTTCATTTTATCAACTGGGTCCATTCCTTTATTTACAATTTCAAACAAACAGTCACATGCTTCCTCACGGAGAACTTCTATTGACATATGACCTAGCAGCATATTTATAAACCTGAAGAGGCATAACATGGTTAGGACATACACAAATTTATGAATCAAAAAACATTTTTTAGACCATGCATTTTGCAAGTTCATATCAAAAAAGAATAAATGACTTACCGATCATTGGCTATCAGGGTCAAGTCTATCCATGAGACATAGGCCCCAACTACTTCAAGGCACTGGCATGTCACCTCTGAATTAGTATACTGATAATTCTGTAAGATTTGGTACCATGATTCCACCAGATTTGGAATGCACTGCTCCCTCATGGTATCTTTTATTAACGTATTCCTACGAGCCTCCTGGAACAAAAACATTTCAGACATCGAGTTATAAAATTATGTACATCTATTCATGTCTTCACATGATAAAATTTCAAATTTACATGGCATATTTTCTGGTTAATTTTCTATCTTTTGAGATGAAGCTCTGAATATGGCTAATATGAAAACATGTTTTCCTTGACATGTCATGTATAACTGATATCACAAGTGGTGAGGCAGGGATGGGGGGGGAGGGAGGGAATTTAGACCACAACATGTTTAAAAAATGAATGCTAAACTTTTCAAATGTAATTGAGAAATATTTACCAAAATACAAATATATTTCTTAAAAAATAGGCTTTGAAAATCACTGTTAAAAAATTTTTTTAAAAAATAGGTTTTGAGATTATTTTGACAAAACTCCCCAGCACTATTTTTCTTATTTATCAGCTGCGGAGCCACAGGTCCTCTAATTCTCTCTTTCTTTCTATTTCTCAGTGCCAAACTCTATAAACCATAAATATACATCATTCAGAACTCAAAGTGTGATTGTAGAGCAGGAAAGAAAAGCTGCAAATAAACCAAGTTAAAAATGCTTTAACCCTATACATTCGGGTTGAGGTTTTCTGTTGTATAACAGCACTTGCAATAAAGGGGGAAAAGCCTGTGAGATCATCAGATCCTAGATGTGGGGCTAGGAGGGACCCTGTAACAGGTCCTCTGGTCCAGTGCTGTCAAATTCAAATACAAATGTGGGGGGCAGGGGAGGCATCACCAAACCATACGTCAGGATCCCTGTGGGTGTACATTCACATTATCTATGTTTGAATGTCTGTCTATTTTTAGGTTCAGGATGTACTCAGGACTGTGATACCTCTGCTCTGGGCTAACCACCACACTGAACAAATCCTGGTTCAGAGTCTGTAAGTGTCTTGTCCAAGGCCACACAAGTGAGAAACTGGGACACAAACTCTCATTCTCTAAACCAAAACCCAGCAGGCCTTCCACTTCAACGGAGAACAGTGACCACTGCCTCCCAAACTTTGAGGAGGATCCCTTTCTAAATATCCCACATGATAACACTTGCTGTATACTTTGATGGAAATAAAGGTTACAATGACAATGTCTGGTGTACCCCAGAGTCCTTAGCCCACAGGTGGGAAGACCAGGCTAAGAGAAGAGCTCAGGGCCTGGAGCCACAAAGTCCCGAGTTTAAATGTGGTTTCTGACACTACCTCACTGTGTGACCCTGGACAAGTCCCTTCATCTGTGTGCCTTAGTTTCTTCATCTATAAAATGGGAAAAATAATAGCACCTACTTCACAGGGTTGTTGTGAGGATCAAATAAGAATAATGGCAAAGCATGGCACCTGGCACACAGCAGATACTCTATAAATGCTTCTTTCCCAACGACGGATGCCATTTCAAATCTAATTTCACGTTATTCCTTCTATACTTCTATGAAACCACCATCCAATTCAATCTTACATTATATTTATACCTCATTTATACTGAGATTTTAATTTCAAGAGGTCAGGTGTTGTTTCATCCTTCTATGTACGTGTTACAGGCCTTATCATAATATCATGTACATATTCAAATATTAAATGAATGATACAGGCAGAGGGAGAAGAGTTTGCCATGAGATCCATGTCTTTAAGAAACTCAGGGCTGAAAACAGACACTCACCAAACATGCAAACCAGAGGAAACTTCCAACCTTACCTTGATACATTGGCAGAAAGAGCACAAAACAGCTTTCTCCAGCATATGTATATGCCAGGAGAGAAACTGTTGCCACTATTTCTACTAAAGCTGACTCTTCAGTACTGACACCATGACTACAAGCCACATATTAAGTTGCGTACAAGACACAATTGGAGAAAAAGTCAGATTCTGTATTTGAACTAACACAATATATTCAAAGCATCAAGTTACATACTGTCTGATTTAAAAAAAAAAATAACCAAAACACTTTACAAAGAAAAGCATATAGTAAACTTACGACTATTTTTTAAAATGTTACTGTCAAAAATGGATTACACTTAAAAGCAATTTTGTATCTTATCTTCCACTGTAAACAAGATAAAGATATGCCCATTTAAGAAACTCAGGGCTGAAACAGACACTCACCAAACATGCAAACCAGAGGAAACTTCCAACCTTACCTTGATACATCGGCAGAAAAAGCACAAAACAGCTTTCTCCAGCATATGTATATGCCCATTTCACTGTAAACAAAATCCACATAAAGCTAGAAATCGATGCTGTTAAGATACTTGCCTCAGATGTATGAACTACGTCCCGATCCACCAATTCTGCATCAATAGCCATGAGGATTCTGAGGTATAAATCTACTCCTCTTGGGTTAAGGTCCACTACTGATAGAATATCAAAAAAATACTTGGGCCATTTAGTGAGATACTCTGTAACAAAAAGTAACGCGAAGACTTGTGCTGCTTTGTTTCGAATGAAAGTCTTCTCCGGCTGGGGATTCAGCATCTAAAAGAAGCAGAAACATTCTGAGCACACAAGTTCAGTAATGTTTGCAGCATAAGTTGCTGTCATAATTTATCTAGTTTAAGAATGTAAAACTTATTTCATCTTCATCTAAACTTTTCACTGGATCTGATGTGAATCGCTCTGAGAACATTAATTTGTTCAACAAAACATCATGCATCATCCCCAAAACATAGGCCAGATCAACATGATGTTAGGTTGAAATGTGCTTAACAATTAGTACTGATGTTTAAAGGGATAGTCAAAAAACAAAACTTGGGGGGGGGGCATGGCAAAGGGAAGGTAGAAATAAGAGGGCATGAAATTATTATCTGCCTCACCTCCAGCTATGCAAGGGCCACAAAAGGAATTCTAAATAGTTTCTATGGTTTTATCATATGAAAATATTCAAAATTTTCCTTAATTACTTGGTAATTGAAATAAGCATCTCAAAGTTTTCCCTTTACACAACTGCTTTGAATATACGAGATTACTAAAACAAGCCAAAAAAGAACTCTCCACGTATGTGAGATCTTTTTTTGCCTTATTTTTCAGGTCCTCTGAGACACTCTGTAATAAAATAGATAGGAAAGTAATACTGGTGCCTTAACTTTCATGAACATATCAAAAACTCCTCTAAATTTACCTAAACTACAAATTACTTATTTAGCTTGGCACGTGACCAGTGCTAGATCACATTCACATAGTGCAATATTGTTTATTTAAATTCATTTAACCACCTAGAAACTACAGCGAAAAAGCCCCTCATTTCACCTTTCTCTTCAAACTGCCCATGTGAAAACACATTTCTTGAGTTTCAATCAATGTAAGAATTGGCTCAGGTCTTCCCATACCATGCTGTCAACATCTCAACTATGCTACAAAATTTTAGTTAATGTCTTTGTGGACTTCTCAAGTAGTAAAATGTGTACATCAAGCACCATGGAAACTGGGGGACAGCTGGACAGCGTTAAGTACAAACTTCAAGTACTGACACTCATTTGACTGCTTCAGCTGAAAAAGCATAAATTGTTGAGACATAAGATATTTAGAAGACTTGGGTTAGGAGTCTAATTTGAAATTGAAATGTAGAAAATCTTATCTTCTATGAAATTTCAAAAATAGTTAACAGAGGTTTTTTCTTTCATTTCCCCTCTTCTTTCAAAAGAACTGAACATTTCTGAATGTTCATTTAGATCAAAGTCAGTTCTTTTACCAACAGTCCTCAATGGAAAAATATGCAACCCCAAGAACAGATAACTGCCTAAAGACTTAGTGGTTTGTGCTGTGAATGAAGGTGGGAAACCCTTTGATGCTGTTACTACCTTACCTGAGCTTGTAGCCAAGTTATAAGAGTTTCCCTAATAAGCTGTTGTTGAGCTGCAGTGAGTTCTGAATACCTGAAATAAAGAATAAAAAGTGAGGCACCTGATGGAGTAGAAAGAGCATTGGATCTCAGAGCCAGAAGAGATCTGGCCTGGAATTTGCCCTAGACACTCAGCAGCTAAGGAACATGGGCAAGTCATGCAACTTCTGAGCCTAAGTTTTCTCATTTTGAAATGGAAATAATAACTAGAGTGGCTGGGAAGATCAAAGATGTAATATAATGTAAAGCAAGCTCTCTATAAACATCAGTCATTATTAAACAAGTCTCAAAGGCTCAATGGACTATTCTACCATAACTGGGAAGCAATTCATTTCCAAGAAAATGCTTGTCATTCAATATAAAGTTCACAATTCACAAAGCCAACATTTCTCCAATTGTTATAAGGAGCTCTATGTCTTCACATATGAATAGATCATAGGTCTGCCACAGTGTAGTGAAAGCAGCAGGGCCTGGACTCCTCTTCCTTTGTCCTGGTCACAAAGGATCCTTCTTCGAGCACAATGCAGCCCGTGGTTCAGTACCCATCCACCTTACAACAAAATGCCATCCCTTCTCCCCCTCTTCCCCCCACATTGGTACCTGTTCGGACCCTGACAGACACAGAGACAGACACAGACACAGACAGACACACACACACACACACACACACACACACACACACACACACACTGTTCCTCCCAACTCTGTCCCATTAGCCCTTCTCATCCATCACCCTTCACCTCTCACTTCTGTCATACCAGAATAACTTTCACACCATCCCCCCCCCCCCCCCACCTCTACACCCTTGGCAGGAGTACACCTGTATCATCAACTTCCCTCACCTCTCTGTTTCAAGCTAATTTCTTGAATCCCCTTCATTCTAGAAGTAGATATACAATAACCCCAGAACAATGAAAGAACCAAGGAATCCCAAATTTTAAGGAAAACTAAGCTATTTACTCAACTGTACAGAACATTGAAAACTTAACTCTTCCGTTAATTTATCTGAAGTCTTAAATGTTTTAAAAGTGTAGACCAGTACATATTTTCTTAATCCAAAATTTCTATTCTTTCTCTTCTTGCCAAATTACAAAGTAAACACGAATAGGCAAGTGACAGTGATCAAATAAATCAATTAATGGTATCTGATTATTATCTGACTTGAACTTCAACCTTTAATTTGACTCTAGGCTCAATTTGTGACATCACAGTTCTAAAGCACTTAGCTGTCTAAAATGCTTTATATAAAGGGGAGATAAGTAGGCAAGAACAATTGAATGCATGTGAATGGTAATTCATAGACATCATTTCCCGTTCATATGCATGCATTGCTACATATCCTCTTTACTATCTCTGTATAGTTTCTATAATAGGAAATTGGCAATATTTTGTTCTAGTTTCTAAAAATATATTTTGAAGATGCTCTTGAATTCACCTTCACCAGTTTCTCACTGAAATAGATGTTTTGCTTTGAGAGGTTTGTCTGCAGTTGACTGAAAAGGTATTTTGCTCCCTAACTTAGTGGCAGTCACAGTTTACAGTTCTACAGGTTTACAAAAGTGCTCTCCTCACCACACCCATGACTGGGTAGGAAGAGTATCCTCATATATCGGAAATGGCCTTGGATTGGGAGTCAGAAGACTTGGGTGTGAATCCCAACTCACTGTGAGAGAAATCAGCAAAGTGCCTTTATAAGCTTCTATTTCCTCCTCTGTTCAATTAGGGAGCTGGACAATGGTTTCTAGATCAAGATCCTGTGAATATGAAGTTGACGAATTTTGACCAAATTTAATATGCTAAAGAGTCTCATAAGATATTTTAATGTCTGATATAATGGTTCAAATTGGCACCTCTTGCAACTTTTAAGGAGTCCCTTTAAACTTATTATGCAACTAGAAATTCCATACATGCGATTACGTGGAGGTCTACAGTTCACTGAAAGAGTAGGTGTACCATCTTAAAAATTAAGGAGTCATGGCAGAAGCAAAATCAGAATGGCCCTATGAAAACTAATTTGACTTTGATTACATTAAATAGAAAAGATTTGGAAAAACAAAGCCAATGCAACCGAGATTAGAAGGGAAGCAGAAAGCTGGGAAACTATTTTTACAGCCAGTGTCTCTGATAAAGAAAGGCCTCATTTCTAAAATATATAAAGAACTGAGTCAAATTTATAATACAAGTCATTCCCCAATTGATAAATGGTCAAAGGATATGAACAGGCAGTTTTCAGAGGAAAAAATTAAAGCTAGCTATAGTCATATGAAAAAAGGCTCTAAATCACTATTGATTAGAGAAATACAAATCAAAATGACTTTGAGGTACCACATCACCTATCAGATTGGTTAACATGACGAAACAGGAAAATGATAACTGTTCGAGATGTGGGAAAATTGGATCACTAATGCATTGTTGGTGGAGTAATGAACTGATCTAACCATTCTGGAGAGCAATTTGGAACTATGCCCAAAGTGCTATAAAATTGTGCATACCCTTTGTTTGACCCAGCAATACCACTAATAGGTCTGTAACCTAAAGAGATCTTAAGAATGGGAGAAGGACCCACATAAACAAAAATATTTATAGCAGCTCTTTTTGTGGTGGCCAAGAATTGGAAATTGAGGGGATGCCCTTCAATTGGGGAATAGGTGAACAAGTTGTGGTATATGAGTGTAATGGAATACAATGGTGCTATAAAAAATAATGAGCAGGCAGACTTCAGAAAAAACTGAAAAGACTTATATGAACTGATGCTGAGGGAAATGAGCAGAATCAGGAGAACACTGTATACAGTAACAGTCACGTTGTTAGATGACTAACTTTGATGGACTTAGCTCTTTTCAGCAATGCAAGAATCTAAGACAATTCCCAAAGACTCGTGATGGAAAATGCCGTCCACATCCAGAGAAAGAACTATGGAGTCTGAATGCAGACAGAAGCATACTGTTTGCTCTCCTTTTCTTTTGTTGTTTTGTTTCTCCTTTCTCTTGATTCCTCCCATCAGTTCTAATTCTTCTTTAAACCATAACTAAAGTGAAAATATGCTTAATATGAACATATAAGTAGAACCTATATCAGAATGCACGCCGTCTTGGGGAGGAGAGAGGAGAGAAAAGGGGAGAAAATTTAAAACTCAAAATCTTATGGAAGTGAATGTTGAAAATTAAAAATAAATCAAAGAAAATTAATTTGTCATTGTACTACTTATGCCAATTTGTGTTCTAATTCTCTGAAGAACATCTAACAAATGATAAATTTTATTACCAGGTAAATAAAAAACAAAACCTATTTTCCCATGTAGATCTTAAATGTTAAGGGGGGATGGGGCAAGGAAAAATTTCTCACTTGAATTTTATTTGATGTTCTAGAACCTGAAAGCAGAAGAACTTCACGTGATCATCGCTGGAAAAAAAAAAAGGAAAAATAATCAAAATAAGGATCAAAACAAAAAAAATTACAAAAAATTCTCACCACATTTAACAGTAAAACCTACCCTTGACTCTCACGATATTAATGAATTTGGTGAACAGAAGGGTTAATAGACAATACAAGATACTGATACCACCAACAAACCAGTTAAAAACACTAGGCTTTTAAAAATAATCTTTCAGTTTTACATTTAACTTATTTTATCACATAAGCTAACCAAAATTCTAAAATACTACTCATACAAAAAAAAATTTCTATTAGTTTAATAAACATGGAACAATCAAAACGTGTTTCAGTTTATATTTCATATGCAAAAAGTATGACAAGTAAGAAATATCTTAAAATACTAAAACCACTAGGTCTCTAAAAGTAGAATGATCTATGCTGGGAAACCTAGAGATGGTAGGCTAAGTCACTGGTGGCAGCTCTAGCCTCCCTACTCATATCCCTGCCCTCACTAAGTAAATGAAGTTCTGCTGCTAATGAAATCAAAGAGGGTGATGTTCCCCAAAACATTACTGTGTTTGTAAAGTTAAGTGACAAAACTGGAATAAAAAAATGCAGTGGTATAAGCTGATGAGTAACAATGAGACAACCACATCCTCCCTGTCGGGACTGCTCCTGTCCCCTCCTGATAGCTTGCATTTCTAAGACAGGTGGGTTTATGGATATAGCTAGGCGTGAAAATTTTAATCTCCAAAGCTAAGTCAAATGTGAGACCTCCCTTTAACACAAGTGTTTGATATTAAAGGTGTGTGCGTTAATGTTTTAATACTCTGATAACTATATTTCAATATGATTGGTTTCCTTTATGCATTTAAAAACATTAACCTAAGATAGGATCGACAGTTTTCATCAGACAAAAGTTAAGAACCCTTGCTCCACAGCAGCAACTATACCCATACCAACTCAGAAAACCACAAATTAATATTATCTAGGTTGTATTGTATTTGTATTTAATTTGTTAAATATTCCCGAATTACTCTGCAATCTGGTTCCGGCAGCATTCTTTTGGTAGCATCTGCTCTCTTGTGACCACAGGAGCCAGCCCTATGCCAGGTGGTTGGGCCCTAAGTCACTATTTAAATGCTTCTTCAAAAAACATAAGCTACGTGGTAGAAAATACGTGTTGGATCTGAAAAGGACCTGAGTTCAAACCCCAGCTCTGACATTTCCTACCTGTATGACTCATTTTCTCTCACCTGTAAAATGGGAGGGAAATTGACTAGATGAAATATAAGATCCTCTACAGTTCTAAATCTATTATTCTACTTTAATTACGTTTTAAAGTGTTAACCATTATTTGTTCCCAAAATCAGATATTAGTGTTTCCCTCCTTAACTGAATCAATTAAACCTTTTCCATGGGTTGCTGTAAGACCTACGATATTTCTAACTCAAAAACTGAAATAATGCAGGATTTTTTTAATTGAAGAGTAACACCACCTATGCCTACAGTCTATTCCATGTTTAAAAAAAAAAACCAATAAACCCTAGAATTTGGAATTATTTATGGAAGAGTCTTCAGATTATTAACTTGTTCTTCAGTGTTCCTACCTATTTAACAGTTACATGTGAAGTCATTCCCAAATCATAAATTTTCATGAAATGTTCTTGCATACAGAAGTCAGAAAAATCTTGATTCCTTCTTAAATTTAGTTAAAGTTTAAATCCTTTTGAGAATTATTATGTTTTAATTACCTGTATGTCCTTTGGGCCAGAGCTTCTGCACACACCTGCCAGGCATCTGGGGAAATCTTTAACTGTTCAAAATAGGCCAGTGCCTACAACAAAAAAGGGAAAATTCACTTAGAATTGAACAAGATTAGTGTCCTACTACTTTCAAAACAAAAATTCAGCAAACATTACCCAATTAATAATGAATTAGCATTCATTACAATTTCCCAGGCACCAATTTGCTACCTAATTTTATCAAAAGCTAAATATCTAATTTCATAATTCACAAGTTTATAATAAAAATGTATGTGTTGAATATTAACAGTCATATCTCTCCTAAACTTTACTACTAATAAGCTTCAGTTTGAAATCTTAGCCCTTTTTGTGACCTAAGAGTTTTGAATAGAATATATCAAGTTAATAAGAAATCATTATTAAAGAGAGAATAAAACATCTTATAGTGTATCATCTGAGCTATCATAGGATAGAAGAGGAAATGTCTTTTGTCAACAAAACGTGTTTAACTTTGTAGAAAAAAAGACTAAAACTCTAGATAATACAGAATCTAGGAGGTGTTCCTACTGAGTGCCAATTATCTTTGAATGATCAAAGCTTTAGAGTATCTTTAAAGAGTCAAGTCTGTCCTTTCAGGCACTGACTTGGGACGTGGAGGTGTCGTTCAGGCCCTGGTCTCGGGTATATTGTTGCTGCCAGCTCTACTCACCACCAGAACCAAATAGTCTGTTTTCCCACTCTCAAGGTGAAAGAAAGGAATGCCTTTTTCTCAGCTAACTCAGGAGCAACATTTGGGCTGCTCTGAGCCAGAGCTTTACATCAACCACGTTTCACACAAACATATGGACAAGAGTGCATGGGAACAAGTTTCACATTTTGTAACACTTGCTCCAAAGAGTAGCTGGGAAAGGGGACTAGAAACATGATTTTAAAATCTGATTGTGTGAATGAAATTCTGAAATAATTAAAATAGATATAACAAAGAGTTGCCACTAATATCTTTGTCCTGTACAAATGTGAGTTGGTATGATTTTATACACTGTGTGATATTGTTGTTTTCAAAGAGCATCATCAATTCAATTTATAGCACAAAGCATCAAGTGAAAGCAGGAGACTCAATGAATGCCACTTGATAAAATGACCCACCAGTAGCTGGATACAAATTGTGCTGCTTTAACTCATTACAGGCAGTCAGGGACGTTTGCAAATTCTGAGATAATCTGGCTGTTCCGGGGCCACAAAACTCAAACAGCTGAAGTTGTTAGCCATCTTTCCAGATAATGTGTAAGACAACACAAAAAAGGGATTCTAGAATTTCTTAAAGTGATCTGACAAAATATTTCCTTGTTTAAACTTATGACTTTCTCATTGCTCTTTCCATCCACTCCTATCTTTACGTTCTTTTTTTTGAGAGCCACAGTGAAGCCATAAACTTCCCACAGAGCTCTCTTCTAGCCATACCTGCTTCATTCTCCCTACACAGCAGCTCAATCACATCAATTACTGTCATTCCTGAGAAAACTCAAGTCATCTGGACAGACAGGGTATGGAACAAGCACCACGCTGGAGTCAGAAGATCTTGTTCTGACTCCAGGCTTGTCACCTTAGGTAGTCACTTAACCTGTGGGCCCCAGCATCTCATCTGTAAAATGAGGAGTCTGGACTCAATGGCCTTCTTCTCCTTCAGTTCTAAATTCACGACCCTATGATTTACTCTATGTACTCCCCTGCTTCCTCCACCCCCCTCCAAAAATGCCGAAATAGACAATGAGATGGCTCGGGCAGCTAGGTGCAGCAGTGCACAGAGCACTAGGACTGGAGTCAAGAAGACTCATGCGAGTTCAAATCTGGCCTTAGAGTTACTAGCTATGTGACCCTGGGCAAATCACTTTAACCCTGTTTGCCTCAGTTTTCTCATCTGTAAGATGAGCTGGAGAACGAAATAACAAACTGCTCCAATATCTCTGCCAAGAAAACCCTAAATATTACATCCCTAACAAGGGAACATGACACTTGTAACTCTTGAGAACTGTACTGTTATACCATTTTAAAGGGGTATACATAGACAGGGAGTGGGTATAAGTTGACTGATGCAATGATAAAAAAAAATCTAATTAAGTGATTAAATGGATCTAAGTGGAAAAAAGAAAGAAAGAAAGAAAGAAAACCCTAAATAGGGTCTAAAAGAGTTGAACATGACAAATTACTGAACAACAAAAAGCAACAATGAGACTGAAGTAAAGAAATGAGTTTCTGTAATTCCTTTCACTGACTTTTGTGGTCTAGACTACAATTATTTTGTAATCACTTTCAACCAGAATCTCTTTTACTTCTCCATCTTTTTCCATTTAATTCTAGTATACAGAATTGTATGAAATTTCTTAAAAAGTTTTCATACAGTGTGTAATCTGGGATCCAGAAAACATTTTAAATTTGGATTTCTATTAATCTCCTGTGATACTTATCACTTAGTTATCACTTAACTAATCCTGTGAAGCACTGATCAGGAACGTAATTGCTATCTCCTTTCGTTTCAAATGATCTCCAGTTTCCCCAATGTAGGTACTTTCTCTAAAGAAAACCAAAACTCTTCCACCCCGCCTTAGTAGCTGATTCCAAGCATTGCTATGGCCAACCAAAACAGTGATCAACTTATGATAATGAAACTCTCTCAATTTAGCTAGTCCTTGTCACAAGGTCTGTGCCTCAAGCGTCCGGGAGCTTGGTTAAGAACTGCCACAGCCTGTACTTTGCTGGGAGAGCCACTGAGAACCCAGGGCCACTTGAGCCTTTAACGAGGACATTATCGGAGGAGTTCTCTATTAGTCTATTGAAACTTTCACTGGGCAGCTTATATGCAAGCTATGCTATATTTTAAAAAGGAAAAAGAGACATCTGTTCAAGAAGAGGACAAAAATGTGACTAGAATAAGATTAATTAGTGTTACTGTAGTTGGCTGTAGTTATTAAATACACTGTGCATATGGTGCCACCCATACCAATTGGAAACAGAAAGAAGAAAAAGAGAGGAGGAGTGGGAAAGAAGTCCCTCTTTTCTCCCACGTAGTCTAAACTTCAAAAGGCCTGAAGGCTTTAAAAAATTAATTACATTGTTCTTAAGGCTTTTTTTGTATCATGTTTGCATTCAGGATTAACTTATAGTTTGGATTACTTAAAACAACTCTATTAAATGATTAAGCTTCCTAACTACAATACCACCTCATTATTATATTATCCTTTGGAGTCACATCAAAGAATTATTTTACAGCTGACACCACCTTTGAGGTGCTTCAATAACTAAGTTTCTTAGGATAGAGTCCAGGACAAAACTACCTTATCTCAAATTCCACTTTCCGTTGAATACTGATATACTGAGATGCGTGTTTATTTTAAATCATCTTAGATTGTATGTGAAGGACACTAATGAGATAAACCTTACCAAAAATATTAGATGTATTAGATACGCAGCAATTAAGTGATTCTATAGACCAGGTTAAACATGGGGGAGAAATTGCTTCAGCTATGGAAGGGTTCCTTTCTACCTTTAACAATGTAGCAGTTTGCAATCTTAAATAGAAAAAAATAAAGGATGCAATATCATTAATGCCCTGTCTTCCAGTAAAGGTTAAATTTCTACACCTTCAGGTAAATCTTTATGTATTTATTTAAAAGGACAAGTTATGGTTTTACTTCAGCACTCTCAATGAAGCAGATTTCAAAGCATCTTGGTCAGTATTGAGTTTTCTGCACAAATATTCATTATTATTTACATGAGTAAGATAGTACTATATAATAAAAGATTAGTCTAATCTTCAATTATCTAACAGCATCCACAATTATGCTGCACTGTAACACTTAGTTAAGAAAAAAATTAGACAAATTTAACATACCCTTTGTCTGAAATCCGAATCAGCATTTGGATTTAGCCCTAAGAGGGCCTGTTCATCCATGCCTGCTGCTATACTCCGAGTTTCCGAATCTTATTAGGTTTGCCCTCTGATGGAACAGTAGAATTCACAAACATCTGCAGACAAAAAAAAAAAATTGAAACAGTATTTATATGCAAAAAAAGATAGTTGTCAAAGGAATTAAATGCTTTATAAATTAACTAAATAACTTAGAGTAGTCAAGAATTGTGCAAAAAAAACTTTTAAAATGAAAGCCTGTACATAGAATTTTTATTAAAAAAGTTCTTTGTTTCTATGAACTAAGATGCAGGTTTACATTAAACTAGAATAATCAAATTTTAAGAGGAAGTCCTTAATTCTTGGTTTAATTTATAAAAATCTAATAGATAATTCTCCATCACTTTGCTTTTCCAAGATAGGTTATAAGTAAATGTAAAAACATTATAGATGGCAGTTCTCTGGTATTTCCCGTAACTCCACCCAGTAACTACAGTAATCTGGTTGTTTATACTTGATATTTTCACAAAAACTATAGTAAAGTGAAAAAAATTCAGAGTTCTAAGTCAGAAGACACAAATTTGAATCTTTGACCTGCCACACATTAGCAGCATGACTGGAGAAAGTCATTTAAATCTGAGATTTAGCTTTTTCATCTGTAAATGGAGACAATATCCTATACCACTTCATTTGGTTACTGGAAGGATTAAATGTTAAATTGTGTAAACCCTAACTGGCTCGATCAAGTGTCTATCATTACACAACCCTGCCCCCACTATCCCTGAACTAGGAATGACAACACACAGAATATGGAGGCTGAGGGCTTGGATGAAGAGTCCCAGGTCTTCACATTACCTATTTGACCTTGGGTCAGGACCACAATTAACCTCTCCAAACTACAGCTTCTTCCCTTGCAAAATGAGGGAGGCTGGGCTGGATGACTCCCAGCTCTAAACCTGTGAGCAATTCAAGAGTTAAAACTACATATTTCTCTACCAGACACTCAAATCCCAAACCTTTTAATCAGAGTGGTTGACAAAGAGTGAGCATGATCTGTTGCATTTCATTTCCTGGTAGAGATGTTCACAAGCAGTCAAATAAAAAGAAACAGAAGAACCCCTGAATAACGGAGAATTAATTCTACTTAGAAAACTGTACTAGAATTGTTGATGGTTTTTCTTCTACTAGATAACGCTATAAATGCAATTCATCGTGGTCATATAAGTCTTACAGAAACTTACAAAACACACAGAATCTGAATTCTTAAAACTTACAGTTAGAATATCTTCTAGTTCCTTATTAAAATACCACTTATGTAATTCCAACCATCAATTTTAATAGTTTAGTGAGTGATTAGAAAGCCAAAAAAAAAAGCAACATTAAAATAATTATAAATCACTAAGATGGTGCCTCTAATTTGAAGACCCAAAAGGTTTGAGTACTGAATCACTTCTTTTTTCACAATTACGAAGTCTGGCACACTTCTCAGTTATAGAAATGAGATCTTCCTCTAGCACAGGACAGGATTAGGCTAAAGAGCAACGTCAATGTTAAGAAAATACACTTCTAAGCACTTCAATAATGTAGAGGAACAAAGCTGATGAGCTATTTAGGATAGAATCAAAGGAGAAGACAAACCTCTCGGGTGAGGAGGGCTACTCTCCACTTCTGGATTAACATGTGAACAGACTACAGAACTAGGCATGTGTTGAAAAGTCTATCAACTTTTTGTAGCCAGTTTTTGGCAGAGTATCAATTGTCTACAGTTAAAAGCCGAGGAGCACTCTTAATTTACTCTGTAGTAGCCAAGCTTAAAAATGCAGTCACCAAAGGCAACCTAGTATTTCCATTTTTGAAGTCCAAATTCACTTAAATAACTGAAATAAATATCTTCAATTCATCTTTCTTAGTATTTCATTAACTTAAAAAAGGGAATCGATGGATAGATAGGGATCATGTGCCTTAAATTTTGTCTCAAGTAACTAAATCTCCTTTCAGTTCACTAAAAGATTATCTATTAACTGGAGGTGGGTCAGACAGAGGCTATTCTATCACTTGTTGGGAACACTGGAAAGGGAATTTAGGCTTCAAATGACCTCTAAGGTTCACTTTCCTTCCATTACTTTGATAATTTTCCTACATTAGCCTCCTCTATCAGTCTTTAACTGAACCATAAAGGATGTAGAGGTCTTTATCACAATAGGCCTGACATGCATAAGCAATGTGAAGCTAAAATCATTGGCTTCTATCTATTGGGGAGAAGGGAACCTTAGCTCCACAGCACCCTGCTGCCATGCTGTTTTGCTGCAAATCTTTTAAGTTTCAGTCTTCTATCTTCAAAATGGGGGAAGGAAACATAGATCCCTCATGAAAGCATATAGGCACAGTGAAGAGTGCTGGATTTGGAGTCAGATAGCCTAGCTTTGGATCCCAGCTCTGATTAATCCGTGTTTATTTTGGGTAAATCACCTAACTTGTCAAATGCTGGGAGTGGACTGGATGAACTTCCAAGGTCCTTCTATCTAAAGCTAGGACGGGAACATGAGAAGAAAAAGCCAGCAAACTACTTAGGAAAGAAAATTCTCATCTCATCTCATTTCTGCTGCATTTATTTTGTGATCTTGGGAAAATGATTTGTCATCTATTTATAGGATTATAGGATGTCAGTTCTGGATTTAGAGCTGGAAGGAGCTTTGGAGATCGTTTGGTATAATCCTCCCATTTTACAGATGAGGAAACTGAGGCCTGGAGAGGAAAAAAGTGACTTGCCAAAAGTCACACAGGCAACAAGTGGGAGATTCAGGGAATTCCATGACTATGTTCAGTATTCTTTCCACAGCCCCAGAAATGTGGTAGCAAAAATAGAATGATGTACACTTAGCCTTTTATAGAAGGCACCAAAAAAACCCTAAAAAAGGGGGTAGAAACACCTTGACCCAACTGCCAGTGCTTACCTGAAAGGCAATAATTGCTAACATTTATATAGGCTTTAAAGGTTGCAATGCCCTTTCCCTGTTTATTTTGATTGATCTTCACAGCAACCTTATCAAGTTCGGTGCTATTATGATCCCCATTGTACAGATGATGAAACTTAAGTGAGGTCAAGTCCCTCAGTCAACAAACATTCATCATTTATTAGACGACTTGCCCAGGGCCACACACAGCTAGTGTTTCTGAGGCTAGAACTGAATTCAGATCTTTCTGACTCCAAGGAACATCGAGCTGCCTAAAAGATGAAAATAATTCACTGACAAGGCTAATCAAGAGCTCACAATATACCAAAAAAGTATAAAAATTTAATAGGTGCAAATTCAACACCTCTCGATTTTTTTTTGATAAAAGAAGGAGAGGTAGAGAAAAACCTAGTGGTAACTACAGTAAAATGCTACATCCCTTCCAAGTTGCAGGTGATAGTAATAAAGTATAAAATGCTGTCTGCTAACATCTAAAGATTTAAACCACAAAGCCGTGCGTGACACTTTTAAAAAAACTCATTGGCATTTCATCCATTAAGCAATAACCAAATGCCTTGGGAAGAAGAAAACAGAAATCCTTCCATACTGCGGTGAAGGTTCTTTAAAGTCATCTTGGACTGTTTTCGTTTTTGTTGTTTTTTTTTTTTAAAAAAAAAACATCCCATCATTATGAGAATGACAAGTTTATAATTGCCTGGATGCGACTACCACAAACCGCGTGTTCCTGTCCTCCCTCCTCCCCTCCCTCCCCGACCCAGGCGACTAATGAGCACTTTCGGAGGCCCAGGACTCGCTTTTCTGGTTACGGGAGCATCTTACGCCAAAAAATTAGAAAAAAGACAGAAAAAAGCACTAAGAGAGAGCCAGGACCCTGCATGGAATGTTACAGGGCGCTCTCCCTCTCATCCTCGGGGAGTCCTTCCAAGAGTGGAGGGATCCGGTCCTCCGAGTCTCGGGTGGCGCAGAGGGGGCTCCACGTGCTGCTCGCGTGGGAGGGGGAGGCGACCCGCCGACACCCACCGGATGGCCCCCGGCCCGACGGCCCGGATGAAATGGGCCGGGGGTGACAGCCCCGACCCCCGGAGCGGCTGGGGAGGGGAACACCCCCCGGCCCTCCCCCAGCCCTTCCCCGAGGCGAGCCCACCTTCCCCGGCCGGTCACTCCATCCCCTCCGCGCCGTGGTCAGCCCCGGGAGCAGGTCGCCACCATGGAGCCGTGGAGGAAGGGAGGCGGCGAGCTCCGCAGCCGCGACCGCCGCTGGGGGCCGGCCGCTCGCAGATCCTCCGAGTCTCCTACTGCGTGGCGCCCGAGAGCGGGCGGGGTCACCGCCGCGGCAGGAAGGGGAGAGCGCGAGCCCCGGGGCACCCACGCCGCCGCCGCCGCCGCCGCCTCCTCCTCCTCCTCAGCTCCCGCTCCGACGAGCTCTTCTCGCGGAAACCCAGCTCGGGCACACGCTGGCAACCTCATGGGCCGCCCCGATCGTCGCCCGCGGGGCGGAGGAAGCCTACGGTTCCCAGCATGCCACGCAGCGAAGGATGACGGTTGTTCCGGGAAGGCGGGTGCAGGGCGGAGACAGGAAAGTGCACCAGTCTCTCCTCTGTGGCTTATCACGTGGCAGCGATGCCTTCTGGGAAATGTAGTATTCGCCCCTGCCGCCTCTCCCAGGCCCCGGACCGCCTGCGTTCATAAGCGCACGCCAGCAGTGCACCTTCTGAGAAATACAGTATTTTCCCTTGCCTCCCCGCAGGCCCTGGACCACCCGAGTTTATGAAACAATGCCAGCTATGCCTTCTGGGAAATGTAGTATTCTCCTCCGCCACCTCCCCCAGGACCCGGACCGCCTGCGTTCATAAGCTCATGCTAGCGGTGCCCCTTCTGGGAAATGTAGTATTTTTCCCCCACCTCCCCCCTCCTCAAGCCCCGAGATCTCCCGGGTTCATAAACGCGTGCCAGCTGTGCCTTCTGGGAAATGTAGTACTGCTCCCCCGCCCATCCAAGCTCTTCCAAGCTCTTCTGTGAGCGCATGCCTGCATGCAATTGGTTGACTTTTGCAAACTCATAATGAAGCCGCGGTAACTGGTTTGAGCGCACGTATTTCTGTTCTGCGGCCACAGATGGATCCTTGGGCTCCATGGAGATCTCATGGAAATTCACAGAGATGGATACAGAAGGAACAAATACATCCTGGAAATTCAATTAGATGCACATGCCTTAGACATTTGCTCAAACATATATTCAGCAATCTGTGTGATTGATTGCAAGTCAAGTCGATAAGCATTAAAATAACGCCTACTACGTGCCAGGGCACTGCAAGGCAGTATGTTAGGCCATGAAGACTTAAAGACAGAGTTGCACTGACTGGTAAATATTTTGCAACATACCCTGTTGAGAAAGAATTCTAATTAGATAAAATTCCCTGTCTTTAAGATCATTTTTCTCTCTCCATGTTTAGTGATCAATTCACTTTAAAGGTGAGAGTTGAAAAGTACCCTTGGCCATCACACTTCAGAACAACTTAAGCATGCACGAAGAAATTTCTCTTCTCTCCTCCTGCTCTCCACCTCTCAAGCCAACACCCTGGAAAGCAACTCCCGACTTGGCAACTGCTTCTGCAGGTGTTCAAGCCCCTACCTCCTCACCCAAGCACAGTACTGAAGACCCAGAAAACAGTTCTCCACACCAAAGTTGTTGGCATTGTCAAAAGATTCAAGATCTGAGACAGATGTTATCAGTGGAAAGGACTTTAGAGAAGATACATAACCATCCTCTGCTTTGTTGTAGTACTCTAAAGACCTTGATTTTGACTATTATAAATACCCAAATTAACTATAGAAGACACATGAAGAAAGGTGCTATCTGCATCCAGAGAAAGAACTGATAAATAGAAGTATGAATAGAATGATTTTACATATGTATATACCTATTTGTGTCTAATGGTAGCCATCTTTAGGGCAGGAGAAGAAAATAAAAGGAAAAGAAAAAAAAATTTACATGATAACTTTATTTAGAAAGAATAGCAAGTTGTACATAATAGATTTACAGTCTCATGTACAATCATCTTTTTTTGTTTGTTATACTATGTTATGGAAATGCTTGTTTTATTCCATAAATCTAAAAAAAAAAAAGACCATGAGATCTCTCCATCTGACTAGCAGCAGAAATTCATATATGGATTATGTCTCATATTAGAATGTGAGCTCCTTGAGATCAGGGACTATCTTGTTTTGCAAAAAGAAAATGCTTTTTCATTCACTTGTTTTCTAATTGCAGAATTTAAATTTTACCATCCAGCTCCCTCATTTTACAGTCAGGGTAACTGAGGGTATTAGAAATTATGACTTATTCAGAGTCGAGCAGACAGCAGAACAGGGACCCTTAACTTTACATTCAGTGCACACTTCTCCTTCAGTATTGCCAACAAAACTGGATCAGTTGGACTCTGCCTCTAAAATCAATCAAAATAAAGGCTGATATATCCTTCCAAGGTCAACAGCAACCTTCTTATCTTGGGAGAAATTTCTGTGTGCATACTGGAGTTTCCTTGAAGAGAATAAATGGTTATGGCCAAAGGTATTTTTTTCACTTTTCCCCTTTAAAATGAGTTAAAATTGGAGAGAGAAAAAAATTATCTCAAAGATAGGAAAATTTGAAGTTTTATGTAATTAGAATTATTTGCCTTGGAGTTTTAATCCACTGTTTTCTCAACAGCTAGCATTTTTAGTGCCCGAGGCAAGCTTTACAAAAAATACGGTTTGGAGCGCAAAACAGGAAACTGGACGGCAATTCAAATTTCAAAGCCAAATTCAGTTGGGATGGAGAGGGGCCACGCAGGAGAAAATTGAGCCCTAAAGAGGGGAGTGTTCTTCAAGTCCCAGCTAAAATCCCTTCTACACACAGCCTTTCCTGATCCCCCTTAATGCCTTCCCTCTATTGATTATCTCCAATTTACTCTGTTTATATCTCCTTTGTACTTAGGTGTTTGCCTGTTGTTTTCCCTATTAGACTGGGGGACTGAGGGCTGGTTTTGTTTTTCTTTTTTTTCCCCTCTCTTTGTATCCTCAGCCGTTGGCACAGTGCCTGGTTCAGAGCAAGCACTTAATATGCTCTTGCTAACTGACATTACTGTTATGGAGGAGGCATGGCGGTGTTGGGGAAAGGGATAAGAGCAGAGACTAAAGCCTAGTCTTCTAGCAATTTTCTATTGTAACTGATTATTCACCAGCTACCAGGTGCTAAACTCAGCTGTTTCTAAGCTGCTGGGAGAGAATCAATGCTCTAGAGTTTAGTGCCCTTGGGCAAAGCTTTAGTTATTCTTCCCTAGTAAGGTCTTTGTTCCTCATTCCTAGTAATTGGGCACCAGCCAAGAGCAGTTGGTGGTGTTGCCCTTCCTTCTCAAAGAGGACCAGTGACTTCAGGAGGGTGATGCCTTGACTTGCAAGTGAATTGGATTTCAGTGAGGCAGAGCTGTGCCAAGTCAATCAGGCTCATTCTCTCCTCCAGAGTTATCAGAGTCCAATGGGAAAACATAGGTCAAGATAACTGGTGATGGCCCTGGATAGAGTGGGAGACCATGACCTTTTAAAGCCAAGGTCTTTCCCAGGTTTCAGTTTGTCTTGAGGCAACACCTATTCAGTCATTAAAGGCTAGGTAAGAATTGAGGCAGCAGATGGCCTAGTTTGCCTTCACGAAAGATTCAGTCTGGGAAGGGAAGCTTTGTAGAGTCTAAACTAAATAGAACTGTTGATGGAAAACAGTTACCTCACCATGAGCAATAGAAATTCATTAAAAGCCCAAAGGGCCTTTTCCTAATTTTCAAAATTCTCACTTTGTGAAAAAGCCTACCTGAAGAAACGAGAAAATTGAGGTGAATTCAATACAAAGGTAAGGCACCATCATTATTTGGGAAATGTTTCTTATTTTAGAGGCAGTTAGGGGAGCTAGGTGGTGCAGTGGATAGAGCACTGGCCCTGAAGTCAGGAGGACCTGAGTTCAAATCTGACCTCAGACACTTGACACTTAGTAGCTGTGTGACCCTGGGCAAGTCACTTAACTCCAATTGCCTTAAAAAAATAAATAAAATAGAGGCAGCTAGGTGGCACAAAGGATAGAGACTGCTGGGCCTGGAGTCAGAAAGATCCGAATTCAAATACAAACTTAGACACTTAACTAGCTGTCTGACCCTCAGAAAATCACTTTACATCTGTCTGCCTCCACTTCTTCAACTGTAAAATAGGGATGATGATAATAGCATCCTCCTCCCGGGGTGTTGTTAGGTTTAAATGAGATAATATTTGTATAGCGCTTAGCCCGGTGCTGTGTAAATTGTAGGATTCAACAAACTGCTTGATAAAAGCTTGTTCCCTTCCCATTTTGAAATGAAAAGTTGTCTATGCTTGGACTTGTTTTGTGAAAAGGGGAACCCTAAATCTAACCCCCCGTAAAGTTAATTAAATTCATAAAAGAGTTGAATGTATATTATGCATATTATAGATAGATGTATATATACATACAACATACAACATATACATGTACATGTAAACCCCAGTCCCACATCCCATTAGTATGAGATTCTTTCCTTATTGGTAGAGATCAATAACCTGAGCCTGAACTGGAGGCAGTTAGCACAAACCAGACGCTCCGGTCTCTTCAGTCTTCTTCAAATCATCTTCCAGTCGGGACAGCTAGGTGGTGCAGTGGATAAAGCGCCGGCCCTGGATTCAGGAGGACCTGAGTTCATAATTCGACCTCAGATACATAACATTTACTAGCTGTGTGACCCTGGGCAAGTCACTTAACCCCATTGCCTAGCCAAAAAAAAAAAAAAAATTAGTTTTCCAGTCACTGCACATTCTGCATTTGCTTCAGGCTCCCCTGGCTCCCCACTTTGAGAGAGACGATGGATAGTGCCAACCCTCTCCATTCCCACCACCCAGATTGCAGAAGGAAAAGACTCTGGGAAGAAGCTGACATGAGAGGAGCTGGAAGTCTCCATCATCTTCCTGTCTCCAACTTGCTGCAGTTCAGGGATCAAGTGCTCTACTGAAATCTAGGATTCTGTCTCTTGGCTAAGCTACGTTATCTCCCTCCCAATGAGAGAGCTCCTTCACTCTGTATTGTCTGGAATATATTCCCCTATGTGTACTTTCTCTGAGTTTTGTTTAGCTACTGACTTGGATAGTTTGGGTTTGGTTTTGGTTTTGGTTAATATGTATGTTCACTGTGGAACTGATATTTGGTGGGAAAGGAGTC